GCATTGATTGTATGTTGACCCATACAATTGTATACAAACCTTGATTCTTGTTGAATTATTGCACCAAATATACTCTACATTATGTTCAATCCCTGTTTGCGAATCAAGAACAACTAAACAATCCGCTTTACTTGTATTTAGCGATTGTAAAATACCAATGTCAAGTAAAAGGGATCGTTGGAACTTTTGGTTTTCATTTTGTTGAATAATAAATATCTTAACATTCCAATTTCCTGGCAGATCATAATTGATCCAATTTATTTGCTGAATTATCTTATCATAAATTTCTTGTTCATATTGGTATAACAAAATAAAATGAATCACAGTTGTAAACTGTACCTTTTTCCATGATGTAATCGATAGATCATCAGGTCTTAGATGGCAGATCAATGAAAGGTATGTAAATACTACAGTTGATATTGCGAGGATTATATAAAACGTTACCTCCATTTTCTTCATCGCATGTATGTTATCGTGAAGTAACGTAAATCAATAACACAAGTTTTATAGTATAATTACGTGATATAAAAATAAGATGTGATATGATTGTCAATGAGACAACTATCCACCAAACTATTTTTTCCATCTATTTTTTTCAACATTTGTCCTTAATGATTTTGTTGATATTATTTTTGTTTCTGATGATGAATCTCAAGTGAGAATTGGCTGCTTGTATCATTTTCAAATCAAGGAATACATCATATTACAGTAATCCCTTTTTCATTTTTCAACTCGGACATCTGCTACATAATAATGTTTTAACTATGGTGACCTTAATTAAAGATGAGAAATAATTTTTGATAATACATCTTTTCCAATTCTGAATTGTTTTCAATCTTTTTATCATGATGATACTTAAGGTGGTACCTAACACTACAGGGAGATAACTCTGTAAAAATCAGCTAAACGTTTTAATTACGTTGTATTGTTAAGGAAATATTAAGCTTCTCAATGATCAAAATATGGGTTTGTCAAACTGCTATATAACCAATGAAATTTTTCTGATAAAGTGGTTGGTTCAAATTTTTTGAAATTTTTATATTTTTGTCAAAGGGTCAAAGTAAACATTTTGTCAAAATTTTATGAAAATTAAACGAGCCGAATTAATATTAGTCAAGGTGTTGGGTACCACCTTAACATGTTTTTACGTCTTAAAAGGATTTTTTCATGATGTAATAGTATGCAGCGTTGATTTTGTACATACCAAACAATTACATTGAAAGGGGGAATCACAAATTAACACAAGATGACAATACACAAAAAAGACAACTGAATAACAACCAGACAGACATACAGACTAACAAGAAAAGATATATGCGAATGACAACCCCTTAAAATAAAAATGAAACTCCAATCCAATCCAAACTTAAGGTGCCTCTGAGGAGTAAGCATGCTCTGCTTTTCATACTGCATCCTTTGTGTTGCCGAGAGGTCAAAACTAGTAAAAGGTCATATTCAGTAAATACCAAAATCAATTAAATGTAATGTGATCTATTACTATTGCTTACTAATGATACCCCCTCTTTTAAGTATTCAGTTAACAAAAAGTTGATGTTCAATTGAAGCTTGCTATGGAATTTCAAGAATTTGAGAATTGATTGATGTGAAAACACATTGCACAGTATAACATGCTTCCCTGAAGCTTTATAACAAATTTCAGGAAGCTCTAATTTGTAGTTCTTGAGAAAAGGGAGACCAAGGTTTCATACATGGCCATCATGTGTAAGATATTTTAGTATTTGAATAACAGGAAGTTGCGTAATTGATGTGAAAACACATCACATGAAAAAAGCATGCCCACATGAAGCTTGTTTCTAAATTTCAAGAAGCTCTGATTTGCACATTCTGATGAAAATGCAACGAAACTTACACTGGATGGACATACAGATGGAAGTAAACCAAGAATGTAGAACACTGAATGCTATATGTCAAGATGATTAATTTTGCATTATCAAAACTATTGTATGTATCTTTGTCTCCAGCATAATGAATTCATCTTTTGATATATTGAGATTATTGAATAAGGACATTGTTGGATACTGGATCTTGAAACTGCCTTCAAATTACTCTATAGAAGTCATTGAATTATCCTACATAAATTAAATGTAACTGAATTTCTTTCAACAATTTTATTATGTCATATAATTATTAAGATCAGCAGATATTCTTCAATAAATATAAAACAAAAATAAATAACTGGTAATTATGCAGTGTTTTATATGTTGTACATATACAAATCCTCAACTGTATTATTAAAAGATTTCAAAATTCCCTTTATATTAATCTTATTTCAATTAACATATACATAAAATTCACTAGTTTGAAAATAATGAAAATCATTTATAAAAGGTAAAAAATTCTGTCAAAGTTGGCAATGACTATTCAAATGATTTCAACATGAAAAAAACCACACGATTGTATCCTTATCATAAAACCAAATAAGCATTTGAAAGAAGACAAAAGAGAATATATTTACCCTGTTTTCTCCAATAAAGTTTTAGCTGCCAACTAAACTGTTTTTGAGACACTTAAGTGTAAGTTAACATTGACGGGTCAATACTTGAACAAGAAATTCCATTCTTATTTTGTTTGTCTGAGGTAATGCTTTCACTGTTATAAACATTACTCATATCAAATAAACCGAAAAACCAAATGACTTAATAAAAAATTAAACATATTTGTGTTCCAGTGTGTTTAAGGTAGGTTCAAGTTTCCTCAAATCTTTCATGAATCAAAAATTTCCTAAATGTTCCTCGGAGTACTATGTCTTCCTGCCATTGCATCTGTCTGTGTAAAAGGGTAATATTGATTGCCAAAAACTAAGTATTTATCAGTAAAATATGGAAAAATAAAAAATAAAATGCTTCGCTGGGCGCAGCTTGATACGACCGCAGAGGTCGAACCCTGAACAGTTGGGGCAAGTATGGACACAACATTCAAGCTTGATACAGCTCTGAATTTGGATTGTGATTAAATATTTGACACAGCATAGGTTTCTGACACAGAAAGAATGTGGTCTAAGAACTTGAATTTTTTTAATTTACCTATTATGGTCCAATGTCCAAAATCAAAATACATGGTTAGAATCAGCATATCAAAGAACCCCATACATTCAATTTTTGTTGAAATCAAACAAAGTTTAATTTTGGACCCCAACTTGGACCAACTTGAAAACTGGTCCCATAATCAAAAATCTAAACACATGTTTAGATTCAGCATATCAAAGTACCCGAAGAATTCAATTTTTGTTAAAATCAAACTAAGTTTAATTTTGGACCCTTTGGACCTTAATGTAGACAAATTTAAAAAACGGGACCCTAAATTAAAAATCTAAAAACACAGTTAGATTTGGCATATCAAAGAACCCCAATAATTCAATTTTTGATGAAATCAAACAAAGTTTAATTTTGGACCCTTTTGACCTCAATATGAACCAATTTGATAGCGGGCCCACAAATAAAAAATCTAAATACATGGCAAGATTCAGCATATCAAAGAACCCCATATATTCAATTTTTGTTGAAATCAAACAAAGTTTAATTTTGGACCCCAATTTGGACCATCTTGAAAACTGGGCCAAAAATCTAAAATCTCAATACATGTTTAGATTCAGCATATCAAAGAACCCCATATATTCAATTTTTGTTGAAATCAAACAAAGTTTAATTTTGGACCCCAACTTGGACCAACTTGAAAACTGGTCCCATAATCAAAAATCTAAACACATGTTTAGATTCAGCATATCAAAGAACCCCAAAATTTCAATTTTTGTTAAAATCAAACTAAGTTTAATTTTGGACCCTTTGGACCTTAATGTAGACCAATTTAAAAAACAGGACCCAAAATTAAAAATCTATATACACGGTTAGATTTGGCATATCAAAGAACCCCAATAATTCAATTTTTGATGAAATCAAACAAAGTTTAATTTTGGACCCTTTTGACCTCAATATGAACCAATTTGAGAGCGGGCCCACAAATAAAAAATCTAAATACATGGTAAGATTCAGCATATCAAAGAACCCCATATATTCAATTTTTGTTGAAATCAAACAAAGTTTAATTTTGGACCCCAATTTGGACCAACTTGAAAACTGGGCCAAAAATCTAAAATCTAAATACATGTTTAGATTCAGCATATCAAAGAACCCCATATATTCAATTTTTGTTGAAATCAAACAAAGTTTAATTTTGGACCCCAACTTGGACCAACTTGAAAACTGGGCCCATAATCAAAAATCTAAACGCATGTTTAGATTCAGCATATCAAAGAACCCTAAGAATTCAATTTTTGTTAAAATCAAACTAAGTTTAATTTTGGACCCTTTGGACCTTAATGTAGACAAATTTAAAAAAGGGACCCAAAATTAAAAATCTAAATACACGGTTAGATTCGGCATATCAAAGAACCCCAATAATTCAATTTTTGATGAAATCAAACAAAGTTTAATTTTGGACCCTTTGGACCTCAATGTGGACCAATTTAAAAACGGGGCCCAAAATCTAAAAAATTAATACACGGTTAGATTCAGCATATTAAAGAACCCCAAGAATTCAAGAATAAAACCCCATTGAAATTGATCAAGAAATAAGCAATTTATACGAAGTATCTTCTTTTGCACAATACTGTGCAATTGAATATTTCTTGCTATTGCGCAATACTGTACAATTGACAATTTCTTGCTATTGCGCAATATTGTGCTATTGGATATTTCTTGCTATTGCGCAATACTGTTAAATTGAAGATTTCTTGCTATTGCGCAATACTGTGCAATTGAAGATTTCTTGCTATTGTGCAATACTGTGCAATTGAAAATTTCTTGCTATTGCACAATACTTATTATATAATAATTTACACATCCTGTTTGGTGTGTATCTCCTACCATATCATTATTATTTGCTTTTAAATATAAATCAGAAATAACCAACTTAAAATGGAAAATTTTAAAAGAAAAAAAAAAGGAAAAAAAGAAAAAAAAAAAAAAAAAAATCCCCCCCCCCCCAAATTTTTTGAACTCCCTTATGATTCATCACCCCCAAACTCAATCCCAGCCTTCCCTTTGTGGTATGGTACCTTGCAGTACAATTTCAGAGAGATCCATACACTTGAACACAAGTTATTGTCTGGAAACTAGAAAAATGCTTATTTTTGGCCCCTTTTTGGCCCCCAATTCCTAAACGTTTCGGGCAATTACCCCCAAACTCAATTCCAGCTTTCCCTTTGTGATATGTAACCTTGTAGTACAATTTCAGAAATATCCAAACACTTACACACAAGTTATTGTCATGAAACTAGAAAAATGCTTGTTTTTTGCCCCTTTTTTGGCCCCTAATTCCTAAAATTTTGAGGCAATTACCCCCAAAATCAATTACAGCCTTCCCTTTGTGATATGGAACCTTGTGGTACAATGTCAGAGAGATCCATACACTTACACACAAGTTATTGTCTGAAAGTTACAAAAATGCTTATTTTTGGCCCCTTTTTGGCCCCTAATTCCTTAACTGTTGGTACCATAACCCCCAAAATCAATCCCAACCTTCCTTTTGTGGTATTGAACCTTATGGTGAAATTTCATGGAGATCCATTCACTTAAACTAAAGTTAGAGTGCGAAAACCAATGTGTCTTCGGACGACGCCGGACGACGACGACGACGACGACGACAACGCCAACGTCATACCAATATACGACCAAAAAATTTTTAATTTTTGCGGTCGTATAAAAATGAGAATTTTTCTTCATATGCTATTTCTTAATCATGGAGAAGCTCCTGTCCAAGTTTTGTAAAATTCCATTAAGATTTAACAAAGCTATCTAATTGTTAATGGAGATTTGTCCAATTTGTCTATTTTCAAGCTTTACTCAATTTGAAAGATGCCAATATTAATTTTGTAGGAATCCACCAAGAAATGGAGTTATCGGTCTAAGTTTTATATTTCTAAGGGCCACTACTCCTGTTTTATCTTTTGATCATCAGCATCTATTTTCAAGCTTTACTCAATTTGAAGGATACCAATATGAAACTGCCAATAAATTTTGTAGAAATCCACTCAGAAATGAAGTTTTAGGTCTATCAAGACAATTTTCTATGTTTTTTTTTATATATATTTCACAAGGCTAAACCTCATATTAAAATTCTGTCTTGGTACCTGGTTCTTTTTGCTCGACCAAGACATTGCAAAAATTGACTTTCCTAAAAAAAATTATTGAATCCATCTAAAAGCTCATAGGTGAGAGAGCCTTTAAGGAGGACAGATGGACACTTACATTTTTGAAATATCGGAATATAGTATTAGAACTGTGCAACAAACAATTATAAATGAAATACAGAATAAGTTTTTGTCGCAGCTAATTGGTTCTGAAATAAATAAAAAAAAAACTATAATTTTCATACATAACTTCAGTAATCAAATAAAATGTCATATATAGGTGAAAAACATGATAAATGAACAGCTTTTACCTACCCAGGTACAAAAACAAATATCTCAATTTTTCAAATGTTCACATCTTTGTAGCAGATGAAGACATTAACTTAAAATTAGAGCTTCTGTTATCATCTTGCAAAAGTATGCGAAGTTTTGAAACTTTTGCTAAAAGAACATCAGCAGAAAACTTTTCATAATAAGGTATATTATGTACATGTCTATTCATAGCAAATGTTAGTCTTAAATATTAATTATTTCATTTTCTAACATTTAGAGAGAATATAATTCACAACAAAAATTACAAACCTAATGGTTACATTTATAAAAGAAAATAAATATGCAAATTTGGCACATGTAAAAGACGATAAAATAAATAATATCTGTCACAAAGATTGTAAATATAAACCAGTAACTGGAATAAATAACCCTTCTGGACATAAAATTACCAACCCTGGCTTTAATATTTTAGCATATCCTTAATCAGACGTGAAATTATTGAAACAAATAATTTGTATAAATTTAATTGGCATTGATCTTTTAAATGATCTTTGGGAATTATTCAATCTGCCTTCACAAAGCTTTTAGAGACAACTTAAGAAAAAACCATACCTTTTATGAGATGTTATTTGTCTTGAAAAGGCCACTATAAAATATTATTACGAGCTGCTAATAAAATAAAAAATGTTAAAAATATCATTAATGCAACTAACAAACAATTTAAATAAATATCTAGCAAACATTAAATTTTTACTTTATATCACATTCAGAACAAAATGAGTAATACTGCAAAACTAATAAAATTGATGGATGAAGACACAAAATGGACGGAGGAATGTGCATAGATACTATACATGGATCCTGGACTAATATCACATGAATGAACTCATTAAATCTATCTTGACTTTAATAATGATAAAAACAAAAACAAATTAATTCTCCTATTTTGATTTTTTTTTTGTTACCATAAAACACTATATAAATCTGATTTATGACTTTTTGTTCTCTACTGATTTCTCCGTTTAATGTCTGAACTTGCAGAATTTATTACTTTTATCCATGCCAGAACTATTATAAAACTATTTATGGCAACAAGAAAAATGGCATATAAATAAAAATTCAGCACTATGAAAGATCATTTTTTCTTTGTTCCACCTCTGTAAAATGGTCCTCTAATAGTTCTTGACAATGGCAGAAATTGTCCTCCAAAACATTTTTCTTCCTGATGGTCCTGGCTTATCATCAGTTGTATCTTTGTCGGCAAAGCCTCTGAAAAATTAAAAGAAATCTTAATAAGCGAGTGTCTTTTTGGTAAAATCTTTATGTATGAAACATCTGAATTTATTTTACTTTCTATATCTTTCTGTCTAAAAAAAGGTTTTTGGTGGATCAAATTTAAATATTTGAACAGTAACACTGACAGATCATGAGTATGGTCATTTTTGCTCTGTACCTGTGCCTCATTAAATCATTTTAGATACCGTATACAAGTAATTATAATTTTCAGATGTGTAATATTATAGGACTAAACACATTTTTTATATGGTTATTGATGTGTAAACTGGGTCAATTTACTCACAGTAAAAATTTGTGTAATTTTTTTAATTCTCAAACCAAACATTTGGTGTTTTTTTTTTCAATTTCAGCCTTTTTGGAACCCAAGGATTCCATTCATATGAACTATGTATTATCTCAGTGAAATTTTCTATTGTCTATATCGGTTACAAAAGTAAGTCCTGCAATATGGTTTATCAAAGTGTAAACCAAAGTAAATAATTCAAATTTACCAATCACCTTCAAATATATGTAGATATACAAATCATATAAGAATTATTGATAAATAAATGCAGGCAAAAATGATTTGGCAGGATAACTGTAAATGTAGAGTGATATAAAGAAGTTCAAGGTCATGATGATGAATAAAGGTTAACAATGGATAACTGAGTCTTGGTATATTGAAAGTACAGTATTCAAAGGAAATGTGCACACCAGCACCCACAAATATTGCAAAAAAAGACTAAGACAGAAGAAAGAATTCATTTAGTACTGGCTGCAACAAAGTTAATACCGTATATATGAAAAGTCAAAATATGATATTTACTTGATAGAAATTTTAATTTAAATAAGTCCTCACTTTTAATATACCGGTATCCACTAATTTATTAATAAGAAGTTTTATTTTAGTTATCTAATAAAAACAAACCAGAATATCTTGTCTTATTTCATTTTAAACATTGTATCAGATGCCTGCCTTTAAAACAATATAACTTTATTAAATGCAATATTTGTCACTTTTTAAGCAGATTTTTCAAATCATTGTCAAATGCAGAGACTTTACTGTTGCCAATTGTTTGAAACAATAAAAATATTCCAAAAACTTCATGCATGCATACATCCATGCATGTAACCAACTTCACCTTTAAAATGGATACTCTATACAAAAAGATAAGCCTCTCTTGTATGAAATAGAACTTTTAAATTAAATCAACTCCATTTATGAAAATAACCACAAACTATAGATTGAAGGAAATGAATATCTTTCAAAATATGTCCCATTGTTTCAAGTATATAAAAATGATTTTGATATGGCTATTGTTGAGCATCAATGGTTTCAAGAACTACTTTGATTTATAACCTGTTTAATATTAAACTGAAGAAAATCCCAAAAACTCAAGAATTCCTTTATCAAACAAAATAAAAAACTGCCGAAACTTAAGATTAATCTGTAAGACAAGAAATTTTAAAAAGTTCATATCTTAATGAACATGTGAACTAAATATCTAGTTAATGTGACCACAACTTAAATTACCTTAACCAAAAACATTAACCTGATACAATACAGATGAAATGATTACAAAAGGAGGATAGAATAATATAGGGATGCAGAGACCAGAAAACATAATGCCCCCCACCCCTTATGTCTTAGGCCTGGCATAAAAATACTCCAGTATTGTTCAGCTGGTGGAACTTGTATATCAATAATTACAGCTGATTAAAGTCAAGTCATCAGATATATGTACAAACATCTAATAATTTATATACACTGTATATAGCAGTTTGAAAGGAGTGTTTTAATAAAAAATGCATTTCCATTTCAGTGATGCCCATGAGCAACTATAAATGTTTTTAATTGAATACATAAGCATTTAGAAATGTGGATCTAAATTAGTGATCAAGAAGGAAAGGAGTGGAATTACACCTCTGAGAATGGTAGTGACAAATTTTGTTATAGAATGCATTTAATAACTACTCTCAAATATCTATCTTACGTGAATTATATTAGGCAGGTTGATAAACAAAAAAACTGAAGATAGATTGGCATTGACACAAAAACATGTCCTCCATGAATCCTCATGTCTTAATCAAGGATTTGTATAGTTTACTATACAAATCCTTGTCTTAATTTAAAAACAAAATCTAAAACTCATTCCCAAAAAAAAACATTACATGTTTAATTGAAGAAATTCTGTCAATTTTACAAAACAAAAAATTGTCTCTTCAAATGTCTCCTGTTCTTAAAGCATACAAGTCTCAATCATATGTTAAATTCAATATGTTAAAATTTTTATCATCTCCAATTTCATTTTTTATTCTATCAAATTTTGTCACTACTCTACTCATGTGTAAGTAAAGTTTTACCTTAAAATTTTTACTTCTTTTTCTTCCCTAAAATTATCATTTATATTTGAAACATTGTTCCATATCAAAAATATTATATGGAGAAACAAGATTATTATCAACAGTAAAATACTACAATGTAATCTAAATTAATTGCTAGTTCACTGTGATGTATTCATGGAAAGTTATATTTAATGACAACAAATGATCAAAACTACATGTGTTTGAATGCAAATGGTAAATTCTTAACTTTGAAATAGTAATTACATGAATTACAGCTAACAAGTTGCAAACATCAACTCACTGTAGACAATCAATAAAAAACTTGAATGAAGAGCAGTACTTTCTTCTCAAAGGAATTAGAAATTGTCTAGCTGAGGTAAAGTTAAAAGTTCTACAAAGTATAACCTAGCTCTGCTAGTAGTGAGAATCTATCAAATGGCTAATTGTATACTTCTCCATAACTATAACTAATAGCTGTTAAACATCCTATTTTTACATCATTGGATTAAACTAGCTATTCAAAAATTGATGTCTTTTAAAAATGTTATCATTAAATTGTTGATTGAAAGCTCCTGTTATAGCAAACTGTTCATCAACAGCCTTTAAATTACCTAATATATCTTCATGTTCACATTAAAAACATGAATACATGCAAAAAGCAATGAGAAAGCATGGCTAGTGAATAACATTCAGTAACTAACTGATCCTAAGTATTTCTTTCTAGAAGAAAAGGAATTTTTCAACATCTAGATCTCCTTCAGATAATAGAAATCTGAAACCCCAAAGCCCAATGATGAATGAAACCATTTAAAGGACTATAAAAAAAAATCTCCAAAATAATTTCTACAAGCTTAAATTCTTCATAATTTCTTTTGCCTGATCAGTTGAAGTTACTTACTCTGTAATACTCTTTGTATTTGTTTCCTATATATATATATATATACATACATTTATAACTATAAAATACATCTCATGATGACTGAATGTGCAAGTCATGTACACACCAATAATAAAATATATATAAAGAACTGGAATATAAAAAGTTATCCTTATTTCATAGTGAACAAGTATATCTGAAATTCTTAGAACAACAATGTTATTTGATGTCCCCTGGGTGCTTAGAAAGAAATTTAGCAAGGGGTTTTTATTTCTATAGGGTTGCACTCTTGAGTTTCTGCTTTATGATGTTGGTATACATCAACTTCTTTTGAACTTGGGTGGATAGTTGTCTCATTGGCAATCATACCACATCTCCTTATTTTTATATAGGTATCACCAAATAAGTATCTGACCTTTTAGGGAGCTCACAGTGCATTCTATACATTTCATGTCTTTAAACCATGCCTTACTGCTTTGATTCGCATTTAATTCTTAGAATGAATTTGATATGGAAAAACTTAATAAATGCACAAACCATTTGCAAATCTAAAATATGTAATCTTAAACAGAAGCCATAAACTGTTAACACAGAGATATGTCTCGCCTATTTGTTATTTTGATAATGCAAATGTTGAAATTAAAATAGCAATACTTTAACATGTAAGTTATGCAAATATTCAAAGTCAATGAACCATGACTGAAGGTACAGGGCTAAACAATCTCCATGGAAATGAGAAGTGCCAATGCTAATACAACTGCAAACCAAATACCATTGACTTTCCATAAGTCATTCCCTTTAAACAAACCTAAACTTGTAAACTATGTAAAAGTTTCAAAGTCAATGAACCATAATTAGGGGGTGGGGTTATATAATCTCCATGGAAATGAAACTTGCAAATGCCAATACATTTGCATTCCGAATATCATTGACTTAACATTAGCAGTTCATCTTAAACTGAACTAATCACAAACTTATACATGTAAACTAAGCAAAAGTTTCAAAGTCAATAAACCATGACTGAGGGGTAGGGACCAAATAATCTCCATGGAAATGAGATATGCCAATGCTTATACAACTGCATACCAAAAATCATTGACCTACCAATAGTGGTTCCCCATAAACTGACCTAATCACAAACTAATACATTTAAACTAAGCAAAGTTTCATAGTCAATAGACCTTGACTGAGGGGGCGGGGCCAAATAATCTCCATGGTAATGAGATGTACCAATGCTAATACAACTGCATACCAAATATCATTGACCTACAACTAGTGGTTCACCATAAACTAGACCTAATCACAAACTAATACATTGTTAAAATATTTACACAATTGTGATCAGTAAAATTTATAAAGTCGCTTTTTTAAAGATTAGTCTCTCCTGCAAACATGAACATAAAAATATGATATACATCTATAATTTTCACAAAGAAATGACCATAATCAGTTAAGAGACATGCAATAAACTTCCTGGTTAATATATAAACATGCAAAATTCAAAATGCAAAATTACCTCATCACATACCAAGAGACAAATAATTTTTGTCAATATCATTTTATAAAAAGTAAAAGTTTAACAAAGACAACATAAAATTTGCTCTTTAATTTCGAAGCAGTGGTTTATTTATCAGTGAAGTATGTGATGAAGTATTGACATTTTTATCACCAAGTGCATAAACATGCTTTATAAATTAGTACAAATGCATAGCAAGCTATACAAAGCTGGAGGATGTAATCATATAGTTACCTGCAGCTGACACTGTAGCCAACTGTTTCGACTGTGGACCTTTGGCTGATCGCACTCTGTTTGATGGCTACAATAATGTTGCATCAAACATTACTAGTTACATACAGAAAAGTTCAAAACTGACAATTGTTTTGTATAAATTTTCTCATTTTATCTTCGGAATTTTCAATATGATGTAAAAATTATTTAACATTTATTCTGTCAATAGCATTAGCCATTTCCTAAAAATAAAAATAAAACAAAAACAACATGGAATGCAGAAACTTTCCTAAACGAACAGTTTTTGAAAACAAAAGTTTGACAGTATAAGTCAATAAAAGAATAAATTTGAAAGTGACAATCTAATTTTAAAAAGTTTTAACATTATAATTAACATCAGTTTTGAACTTTCAGGAGTTGCAATGCAACCACCACCAGCAACACAATTTGTTAACCTTTTGACCTTTTCTTTCAAATATCCCCATGATCCATCAAATAAAATGCTTGCCCGCCAACACAAAAGCATGAAAAATTAGCTCATGAATGTTTTTTTGTCAGAAACATAATGCAAGGTGGGGGTTGCTTTGCAGTAAACTTTTTCATGTATACATTAGGTAGATACAAGTAACAAAGCTGATTTGAGGCTAGTCAATGCGTAGTTTTTAATGCTTGATTGTTTTGGTTAAATTTTAATAGTTTAAAGACTGCAAGGAATATACAGGTTTATAATGTATTAAAAAATGTGAGGGACTGTAAAGTAATACATGTTTTGGTTAAGAAACTGCCAAAAATCACTAAGATCAAAAATAGCTGGTGCACATCTTAATGTTCTGTAGAAGAATCTGTCATTCTGTGTAAGTTTGGTTGAATTCTGTCAAGCAGTTTTCTAGGAGTTGTGGATTAACTGTGTGACATGGAAAGCGAAAATACAAGACCAGAAAAGAGATTCCTCTGTGTTGTGACAGCTTCGTTTTTAACATATGTTATGAATATCTAATCTTTAAAAGGGAAAGGTGTTCTTAAAATATCAATTAAATTGGGAATAGTGAAATCATAAAAATATGTTCCAGACTATTTGCAATAAATTCCTATATAAACATTTAATTACTTTTTAGTATATTTTTTTCTAACACTTGTGTATTATGGTTTCAGTCTGATAAATGTTACAGTCAAACCTGTATTAAAAGGCCACTCAACATATGGCCTTTCAAAACAACTGGCTATTGTTATATAGTGTAATTTTAATTAAGTGGATATCTGTTTTAAATGGCTATTCTTTCTGTGCTGATTGAGTATCTTAACCTATTAATGCAGTTAGACCTTGTCAAAATCTTCCTTAAAAAAATTGTGATTTTTCATACAATGCATAACTTTTATATGTGTTGATATAATACAGTATTTTGAGATAATGACTTTGTGATAGATTCATATGCCAGTTTCCTACAATGGCTGCTTAAGACAGGTTTGACATGATGATGGTGTACTGTGATAAAAACAAAACAAATGTTGAACCTCACCTCAAAATATTTATCAGAAACAGTTGGTGGAACTGACTGACTACAACTGCTTCTATTATCCTTTGGAGAAGGAGGAATTGTATTAGTCTCTCTTAACTCTCCTTTCTTCAGCTTCCTATGAAACTGCTCCTGAAAGTTTCTATCTGATATTGGTCGTAGATCATAATTAGCACCAGATTTAGAGTGTCTACTACTTGCACTATTATTAGAATTATGTATATCTTTGTAGGTATTTGTCCTATCTAAAGCACTAATCTGGTATGATTCCACTATTGTACCATCAGGAATTCTACGGTTAAAATTATTATTATTTACATTGCCCGGAGTTGTATCCCCTGATACTTTTGGTCCTCTTTCATAAGTCCGATCACTCATTGGATAGTTTGAAACTATTCCTTTCTTTCGTCCATGTGGCTTTTTAAAATCTGTCATTGTAGAACTATCCTGAGTTGCAAAATTTTTCCACTGCTCAGGATAACCTCTACCCATTAAAGTTTCTGTCAAAGGAAGTTCATCTATCTGTACATAATTATTTCTATCAAATACAGAATTAGGTTGAGCATTCTGGTTTGGATTAAACTGATCAGGAACTGAATTATCTGTCACATATTGTTGTTCAACAGGTATTTCTATTTCCCCGTCTTCATCATTGTGATCTTCTGCCATCTTCCGCTTCACCTTGTAAAACAAAGAAATCATTTTTCATAAAACTCATCGAAACATCATACACTCCTCTTTAGTAAGAGTGTAATACTAACCATAGGAGATATTAAGGATTGCAATATGAAGAATAACAACTATTCTAACTATTTTCTTGCTTTCAGAGTTTTATCATGTATCATTTTAATATCAGTTTTCTATCAAATGGATCTTACTTTATTTTGCTCTTCTAGTATATATTGTAAACATGGATATTGTTGTGAATTGTTATTTTCACCATTTTAACACCTACAAATTAAGGATAAGTTTGCCCTTCACGCAAATTTCATTGCTTTTACAAACTTCTCACATTAATGTGTATATTTTTTGCGCAAATAACTTGATCGCTTAAAAAGTGAAAATGGCTCCCAGCACAAAATTTTCCACCTGTACAGTATATACAGTCTGTTATCAAAGACTACTTTGGTTACTTTTGTTCTTATCTGTTTTCTTGTTTAACAACTGAGGTCATACACATAATACATATACACAAACAATACATGTACTAATTATTGCAGTTGTCATACATTCATGTAAAGTTGTAATTATTGATAACTAGACAAAGTGATGCCCCCACACTCCACTCTGAAGTAACTGTATTATAAAAAAAGTCAATGTAGGACGTTCTTTGAGATATTATTGTGCCTGGAAGACACAAATGATGCCCCGGCAGATACAAAGTGTTATTTTAAAATACACAAAGTTGAGCATGGGAGCACATAGGTCTATGGATCACTGTAGGAGGAGTTATCCAGAAATGCTATGCACCTCTTATGCAAGTATATACTCCAAAAATGACAAAGTTCAACTATCTCCCAAAAGAACAAATATTAATAAAAATCAAAACCCTGACCACATGCACACCTTCAATATATGTACAAACATCAAGCAAAGTGAAAACTTCCAAGCATTCAAACTGTAGGAGAACATTCATACATATGAAATAGAAAAAACGGTGTAAAGTCTTGAGATTTATTACTTATGTTGGTTGAAGGAACCACATTTAATTATAAAGTCTTGAGATTTATTACGTATGTTGGTTGAAGGAACCGCATTAAATTATAAAGTCTTGAGATTTATTATGTATGTTGGTTGATGGAACCGCATTTAATTATAAAGTCTTGTGATTTATTATGTATGTTGGTTGATGGAACCGCATTTAATTATAAAGTCTTGAGATTTATTATGTATGTTGGTTGATGGAACCGCATTTAATTATAAAGTCTTGAGATTTATTATGTATGTTGGTTGATGGAACCCCATTTAATTATAAAGATTTGAGATTTATTACATATGTTGGTTGAAGGAACCGCATTTAGTTATAATATGTAACAAGTAGAGGTGCCAGAATAACACAATGTTTATGTAATTTTCTAAGTCTAAGGACTGTTATTGCATGAAATGTAGTATCATCCAAAATCTAAGGCATACTCTATCTGTTACTAACCATTATACATTTATAGACCCAAAATCCATGCAACAACTATAGGCATAATAATAAAAGACCTGACATCTGGTGGATTTTATAATGAAGTAAGGATAGACATATGCATCATTAAAAGACCTGTCCACTGAGTGGCATGGGCATAAAAAATCCTTTAAAATATCTTCACAATTGTACACATATTTGGTGAATAGCATACTCAACAAGGTATTCAAGGAGTCATACTATGTGTATCCACAATTTTTATATTTTGTGATCATTCCATACAAACATAAACATCAATTAAACAAATAAAAAGCCAAATGATCAGATCCTTTTTTTAATTGATTATTCAGTGTTTTATATAACCCTGTTCTATAAATTTTCTGTTGATTAAAAATTGAATTACTTGAAACACTGACATTTTTCTACTGCAGGCATAGATTGCCTTAGCAGTATTTGGCACAGTTTTTAGGAATTTTTGTTTTCAAAGCTTTTCAAATGCTTGATAATTTTGGCCTTCCAGCTGTTGAGTCTTACACAGACAAAATATTTGTCTAGCTTAACATACTATAAGTTTGGAATTGTTGGTGAATTTTTGAATATCTAGTTTCCAAAACTGTTTGTCCTGAATGAATGTCATTCAGATTATTCCAATAACATGTCATGCAAATAAAATTGATATCAGTTAAATTTAATAAGTCTTACCTCTATGTCATGTTTAATTTCATCTGTAAGTTCCCTGATGTCCCTATCTGTTTCCTGCATCAATCGCTTGATATACCCTCTGAAACACAGGCAAGTTTTTTTTTACATAATTTGAGAACTCATCTTTCTAAATGATCTTCATCGTTATTCCATCTGAACGTAATCTTAATTATGATTCCATTCAAATATAACTTCTATAAAAAAAGAAGGCCTATAATTTTGCTCAAAATCCAACCAAAAAAGTGGTAAGAAACAACATTTATCTCCTTAAGTTAAATTTCAAAGATAGATCAGAAATTTTTAGATGCTTTTCATGGGAATGTTTATATTAAAAATAAACTAATGACAATTGTATTGCTTCCTTCTTTACTATTATACTACTTTGAGACCACTAGTTATCATAATTTTACTTTTGTACTACTTGAGATCACTTGTTATCATAAATCACCTTTCCTACTACATTGAGACCATTTGTAATCAAAGCTCATCTCTCCTCACTTTTAGACCACTTTGAGACCACCTTTTTTTATCATAATTCAACTCTCCTTACTATTATACTACTTTGAGACCACTTGTCATAATTCAACTCTCCTTACTGTTATACAACTTTGAGACCTCTTGTTTTCATAATTCAACTTTCCTTGCTATTATACTAATTTGAGACCACTTGTTATCACAATTCAACTTTCCGTACTATTGTACTACTTATATACAAGGTGGACATTGATCTTAAACCTATGAAAGGTAACCTTAACTAAAGGAAATTGTGAGAAAATTGCTCTAAGAAATTAAGATCATTTTAAGAATAATTCAAAATTCTTCTTATTTGTTTAGTCCATGAAAATACAAAAGGGTTACTCATTTGAATAAACATTATTATTTTGAGGCCAATAATATATGCTAAAATCAGTATAAAATTATATGATTCTGGAATATAAAATATTGGATCCAAGATGGCTGCTGTAATTTAAAACTAGAGGCTCTCAAGAGCCTGTGTCGCTCACCTGTATTTACTGATGCTTTGGAAATCATGTAAAATAAGGTTAAAATCATAATTAATAGTATTAGATATTAGATATCATAATGATATCTAAGATAATAACAAAAAACTGTAAAATTTCTGTAAAATTACTAACTCAGGGGCAGCAACCCAGCAACAGGTTGTCGGATTCGTCTGAAAATTTCAGGGCAGATAAATCTAAATCTGATAAACATTTTTGCCACCTGTCAGATTTGCTCTAAATGCTTTAGTTTCAGAGATATAAACCAAAAACTGCATTTTACCCCTATGTTCTATTTTTAACTAAGTCGGCCATGATGGTTGGAAGGTGGGGTCATCAGACAAATTTTTTAAACTAGATACCCTAATAATGATTATGGCCAAGTATGGTTTAATTTGTCTCAGTAGTTTCAGAGAAGAAGATTTTTGTAAAAGATTACAAAAATTTACGAAAAATTGATAAAATTGACTATAAAGGGCAATTACTCCTAAAGGGGTCGACTGACAATTTTGGTTATGATGACTTATTTGTACATTATTACAGTTTATCTCTATCTATAATAATATTCAAGATAATAACCAAAAACTGCAAAATTTCCTTAAAATTACCAATTCAGGGGCAGCAACCCAACAACAGGTTGTCAGATTTGTCTGAAAATTTCAGGGCAGATAGATCTTGACCTGATAATCAGTTTTACCCTATGTCAGATTTACTCTAAATGCTTTGGTTTCAGAGATATAAGCCAAAATCTACATTTTACCCCTATGTTATATTTTTAGCCATGCCGCCATCTTGGTTGGTTGGCGGGGTCATCGGACACATTTTTTTAAACTAGATACCCTAATGATGATTGTGGCCAAGTTTGGTTGAATTCGGCCCAGTGGTTTCAGAGGAGATGAATTTTGTAAAAAGCTAATGATGACAGACGACTGACGACGGACGCCAAGTGATGAGAAAAGCTCATTTGGCCCTTTGGGCCAGGTGAGCTAAAAATATCCATCTTCCTTTACTATGTCAAATCCTCACAATTAAATACACTAGTTTTAATAGATCAGCCACACCAATAAAAAAATAAAACCACTGAGGTAAGAATTTCATCCATACGTCATTTTTAGAATAATCCTTGATTTACGTAGCTATATAAAAGTAGACAACGGTATAGAATTAAATAAATCGTACCCAGTTGTAGGACTAAGGTTCTGTTGTGTAGCATTAGATACCAATGACTGTCTAAGTTCTCTGATACTTTCTACAGCATTATCTACATCTTTCTCCCCTTTAGCTGACTGTACCCTAGTCTTCCCTGCCCTATTGTGGGGGTTAATCAGGTAGTCAGGATGACTGACACTTAATGGATGGGTTTCTTCTCTTTCTCTCATGCCTACAAATACATGATTTATTTGGTTTCAATGTCAAAATGCCTAAAAAAATATGAATTACTTAAATTATGGTCAAACAATTACAAAAAAAAAATAGATTTTTATAATTATTATATCATGGTCTAGTATACAATTGTTCCTTAGTACATAAATATTTGAATTTCATGCATTACATTTCTGACTGACCAATTCAAAACCCAAAATCAGAAATCAGCTCTCAGCCTTTAATCTTTGGAAGATTTCACCTTTTTTTTTTACAGAGAACAAATACTGCTTAAATCTTTCTTTATGTGCCTGTCCCAAGTCAGGTGCCTGTAGTTCAGTGGTTGTCTTTGGTTCATGTACGTCATATTTGTTTTCCCTAAATTGTTTTTTATAAATTAGGCCGTTAATTGGTTTTCTCATTTGAATTGTTTCATATTTTTCATATCCGGGCCTTTTATAGCCGACTATATGGTATGGGTGTAGTTACCTATAATTGCTTACACCGACTTTATTTGAACTTTGGTGGATAATTGTCTCATTGGCAATCATACCACATCTCAAGTTTTAAAGATTATTCCTTTCTTTACAATTATCTTATCTGATTCATGAAACAGTTCTGTGTATCAGAGAAATACTCTCAAGCATCAAAATTAAAGTAAAGAAATATATGGTTCAAATAACAAACAGGAAACAAATACTTGAAATAGAGCTGACTATGCTTTGCTCTTACTCCTATGTACTGCATGTTTAAGGTAACAGAATAAAATCACACTGCAAGGTTATGTCATACAATACAATCAAACTGTTATCAACAAGTATGCATATAGATTAAACTGTTTCTCCTGGAAGCTGATTGCTACACCAGATATATAGAACCAATAAGGCAAATATTTCCCATAGCTATAAACTCACAAGGTGCACATGAACCATAAAGCACAATGACCTACAAACTTATGCTTTCATGTTGATTTTATACCTTAATAATTACATTACATGTATGCTTCATTATAATACGTTATTTTGATTGGCTAACAGCAATCTCGCGTCATTCTGAAATTAACCTTCATTTCAAAATGAAATGTAACATTCATGATGACACGAGCTTCCTCAAAAAAGTGCACAGGTAAAAAAAAAAAAAACTTGATAGAAATTGTGTTTCCATGATCATGGTAAAAAAATGTAATTATAAGTATTGAATAGTTCTTTTAGTAATTTTATAGGGTTGTAAAAGTGTTGACCATGCGCACATTTTTAGAATGTATCGTGTTTCATACAAAATGTACTTCAGTCAACGCTTTTACACCCCAATAAATTTACAAAAAGAAGCATTCAATTCTTAATACTCTACATTCTTTTGTATAACTATGAAAAAATATTTCAGCATGCCCTTTTACCTTGTGCAATTTAAGAGGAAATACTTTCACACTGAAGTTAGAAGTAGCAGTCAAATAGACCAAGATTGAGGGTCTCTCCCCTAAAATGTTACAATCACTGAATGAATCAATATAAATTTAAGATTTTTTTAAACATCTCTTTTTATAAAAAAAAAGTCTATGTTAAATTAAATCATCTAACTAAGTTTAAACCCATAAGTGATTTGACACAATTTAAAAAGGGATCAGTATAAAACTAATGTATCAACCTCTGGATCAAAGGTTCTGCAAAAGCACAAAATTAGGTAAAAATTGCTGTTTTATTGTACTTTTAGGTATGTGTTGATAATCACAAAAAGATCTTGCAAATCCAGGAATTTAAAATAAAAATTAACAATTCAAAGTAAGTATTTTTAAATATTAATTACTAAAAGTATTAATCAAATAATATTTCAAAAAGTATGAAAGGTAGACAAGTGCAAGTCAAAATATCTTACATGGAACAAATCTATAGCTATGCATACATAGCTGAATTATTTAATAAAGTCTCCAACAGCATCAACTTTACAATGAACATGGGTATTTGAGGAGAAAGCATTTATAATTGGGGAAGCCTGGATTTGCAGGAACAAACATGAATTATTTATAAATTATACACAGTGCTATAACAAAACTAAATATATGTCTATTCCCCAAAGTTACAGTATGCTGCATTAATTAAAAAAACATTACAACCATAGTAGTTTAAAACCACAATATTGAGCAGGTGAATAAATTCAATCGACTTTAATAATAAAAATCATGATGAATGGAAGATGAACTTTGTTAGGAATGAAAAAGTGTACTTCAAAAAACAGCTTGTGTGTTCAGTAATAATTTTGAATGGATTACCAAAAATGTTTGGAAACAGCTGGAAAGATTTCTTTCTGATAACATCCATTTGTGGAAGGGTTAATTCTACAAAATTCAAAATATAATGATAAAAAAAAATTGTTCTGTAGTTGAATTCAAAATGTTAATGTCATGAATATTTCATTCACATATGTTATTTACCAGAAATTGTTTTCAAAGTTTGTCTGGGATTTCAATTTACCCTGTTGTTTATTCATGTTTGTGTATAAAAAATTTGTAAGGGTTCCGCGGAACCCAGTGTCTCGCCTACTTTTGCTGTTAATCGCAGGCTCAACAAAAATGAGGAAAAAAATTAATAAAAATATTCCTCTCTGTACTATCTTTTGATTGTAAGTAGCTTCTGTCCAAGTTTGGTAAAAATCCAGGATAGTTTTATGAATCTCATAAATGTTTTAAAAACTTAAACTGCAGACTGTATGTAATGTTAACTGGAAGAAAAACTAAGTCCATTTATAAGTAAAATACAGAAAAAATGGAACAAAATTTTAACAAAATTTCCTTCTAAATACTAGCTTTTAATCATAAACAAGCTTCTGTCCAAGTTTGGTACAAATCCAGGATAGTTTAAGAAAGTTATTAAAATTTCAAAAACTTTAACCACAGAGTGAATGTAATGTTAACTGGCAGAAAAACTAAGTCCATTTATAAGTAAAATACGGAAAAAATGGAATTTTTTTTTACAAAATTTACTTCTGGATACTATCTTATGATCATAAACAATCTTCTTTCCAAGTTTGGTAGAAATCCAGGATATTTTAAGAAAGTTATTAAAATTTCAAAAACTTTAACCACAGAGTGAATGTAATGTTTCCTGGCAGAAAAACTAAGTCCATTTATAAGTAAAATACGGAAAAAATGGAATTTTTCTTTTACAAAATTTACTTTTGAATATTATCTTATGATCATAAACAAGCTTCTGTCCCAGTTTGGTAGAAATCCAGGATAGTTTAAGAAAGTTATTAAAATTTCAAAAACTTTAACCACAGAGTGAATATTTGTGGACGCCACCGAAGAGGACAACGACGGAATGTAGGATCGCTATGTCTCGCTTTTTCGACAAAAGTCGAAGGCTCGACAAAAATGATTATGAAAATAAATGAAAAGGACATACTAAAAAGATGAGAGAAATTAATAAAACAGAATCTTGGACACAGCAGATTGCATGTGTTTTAAAACTACATACTAGAAAATCTTGTTTATTCCAGTAAATAAACTGTAGAGAAGGGAAATGGAAGAGGGACATGTTTTTTTTCTCAACCAAATATATTCGAGTTTAAGGTTTGATCAAAGCATGTGTTACTTAGTATGTTAACAGCAATGATATCATTATAATAGTTACGGAGAAGTTTCCTTTTCTCTCACTAATTAACCTCATCAATAAAGTATATCATTTCAACAAAAAATATGTTTTGTGAAATCTTTTAAGTGAAGTCCTCAGGTCGTTGCAACATCATCTTAATGAAAACCAAGGGAAATTATATCTCATTTAGTTTATAGAAATTTTTTTCACTTCTTATTCTCCTGTTGTTTTTTTTTTTCCTCAGTTGTAGCCTCAGAAACTGAAAACAAATTTTGAATTAACAGGTCCATAGATACCTGCTTAGATTACTAGGGCATGTTTAGCAGTGGGTAATAATAAGAAGTAAAGCTAGAGATATTACAGATTTACACACCCATTCTACTTTTTCTACCAGAAGATACCCTTTCATTTGGTTTCTCCTTACTTTCATCTTTGGCATCATCTACAACAAAACAAAATGCTAATTAATACAAATAAAGGTATACATGAATACCATACCAACAACACAAAAAACACTGCCTACAGTATATTATTCCTTCTAAATTCAGTTTGCACTTGCCAATTTAAAAGGCTCAAAGGGATCTCTGTGACATGATTGTTGCCATGTATTTAATGGAATTACTATGCAACAATAAAATGTAGGCTTTGTAGAGTGTTTTCAAATCATCCTTTCTGTAAAGTTAGATAAATTTAGAATTTTAAGATTCCAAATTAGAGACAGAATTTGTAAGACCCCCCTTTTTTCCTTCCATCTAACTATCATAATGTTTAATCAATCTATCAAATTATTTTCTCCAGATTTTCACAACACATCAATCTGTCAGATATCAATAATATCTTTAAATTTTGTCTTCCATATTTGAAGTCCAGAGGCCGTAATTTCGACAAAAATCAGCAAACGTAAACCCAATCTGTAACTCATCATAGTCGACTCACATATCAAAAATGAACTCAATATGTGAAGGCATTTAGAAAAATGTCCAATTTGTAATGACAGAATGACTGAATGACAGAATGACGAAATGACGGAATGACTGAATGACAGAATGACAGAGTGACTGAATGACTGAATGAGGAAATGACGGAATGTCAGAATTACTGAATAACAGAGGGGCCATAAAAATTATAAAAGATAAAATGTTCTTGTACTTGTTTTTTTTTCAAGAGAAAAAAGTAAGAAATAAATCAAGAATCAAGTTTAATTTCAATACTTGTTTACTATCATTCTCTACAACTACACCAAGGCCACCCTTAAAAAATTGACAAAAACTAAAATTTTAATTACATCATATTTCAAAATAAATATTTTTTTTGTGAAAATAATCATAGCCAACAACCCATTCCCTAGTCTTTTTCAGATAATTAGACATCTTATTTGAAATTTTGCTGCTTATAACCAGAGAAAATGCCCAACTCTGGTATTAGTTTGTTCTTATTTATAACTGAAAAAAACTAATTTCACTAACACCAGAATTCTCTGAAGATCAATATTAAGTTGTTGAAATACTTCAACATGTGTATGTAAAAAGCCAATATTTTTACCATTAACACCATTTTCTTCTGGTTGGATGTCATTTGTCTGTGGCTCAGTATGCTCCACATTCTCACAATGTGACAATAGTTCTATTTTTGATTCACTTCTTGCCTTCTCTATCATATGGGTATTTGTGGGTGGTGTATCATAATTGACAAATGTAGCTGATGGAACACTAGCTCGATGTCTGCCCGTCTTGGCTGAAAAGTATTCATAATGGACCATGCTTAGTTATGAAAATTTGAAAGTAGCAATTAGAACCGTTAGCCATCTTTGGTCGTGCTTTGAGTATTGTACATAAAAAATAAAACTTCCCCATTTAATTTTCATTTTTCTTTAACCCAAGATTATAACGAAAACAATATCATGACCAAACATGGCTGTCTGTTAGAATAAGCCGCTGTGGTGAAATAAATGTTCTATATTCACATATTTACAAACATTTGTGAAGATAAGTTTGCTACAAAAAGAAATAGAAGTAATAATAAATGCAGATTATATTGTAATTAAAGCAGGCAAAGAATTAAAATATATTGAAAAATATCTATTGTAAAAAAATATCTAAATGAATCATAACTTAATGTAAAATCATGATGTTTTGTAGTGAGCAATCATGAAATCAATCCTATTTAACAGCAATTCATTTTATTTTCTGATTTTTATCTAGAATGAAAATGTATTTGAGTTACTTTTGGGTAAATCCTTTTTATATCTTTACCAGACTATTTAAAATGAGGGTTAATTAGGCCAAATCAGATATCTTTCTTTGCTGCTCATAAGGTGCTACATTTATTCAATGGTTCGCATCTTTATCATACATGTGTTTTCTTGAAACAGAGGAGAGAATATATATTTTGTATACTGATTAAACCACAGCAAAACAATCCATTCTTTTCTCATGCTACAACACCTAATATTTCATGCTTTTATTTCTATATACACACTGGTACTATTCTACAGACCACAAAAATATATCAAAGTTAGAAAATGTGACAGAAAGATTTCTAAACATAAACTTTAGTTATATTAAATGCTCAAGAAATTTCAAGAAGATTCTGGAACTTTTTCTAGAATTTTGTTTTCAAACAATTGTTCTGCTAGTAAATGTCTCTTGCCATAATGATTTAAAGACACAAGAAAACTATTCTAATGACTGCAAAAAGTTTAGAATGCAAGACCGACTTAAAAATAACCTTTTCTGAATGGATTGATATAGACATTTTTGGAAGCAACTTTGACATATTTTCATTAAAACCGTATATTTACATATCCAATAACTCCCAAGTTCAGTACTTATTTTCATTATTTTTTCAATTACCCGGTATTTTTTTTAACTTTTTTAAAAAAGAACAAACAATGAAGATAAGTTTAAACCACAACGAACTCATTTACACATATATACCAAACTCAATATATACACACTATATATATATCACACACATCTTCAAAGGCTACATGTGGGTAATGTTATATTTTTATCTGATCATGCAATTCTCCCACCTAACTGAAATCTCCTCTCATTTCATTTCTTTTTTCTTTTTTTGGAGAAAGAAATTCTCAAAGCATTCTAGCTCTCCCTTAATACTGTCAATTTAGATAGAAACAGCATAGTTCAGTAATAATTCTTAATCTTTGTTAGACTATGAATGCAATTACAATGAATTTTTCATGAGGAATAAATAAGAGCATTTAAAATTTAGTCTAGGCTTTTCAACCAATATATCATTGCTAATGGTAAAGACAAGTTTTTTTGCTGTGATATAAATTTTTCTTTATCAGTTGCCCTAGTAGTCATTAAATTTCTTAAAATACATTGTATAAATATATTAGAGGGTTCCTCAACGTAAATTAAATATAATGATGAGTGAACTGCATATATATGAATATAAATTATCAAATAGCTCTAATTATGTACAGCTTCATGCATTAGTAAATACTTTTAAAAAAATATTATTTTCTACTTCAAAAAAAAGAGAGGAGATTTTCTACAATAAAACAATACAGATATCAATGCACTAGCGTTTCGACCCTGATGTTTTCTGGCGAGCGTGCCCTTACCATCATCAGGTGTTAATCTGTTAGTGCATTCATCAAAGGGACAAGGATGTTGACGTATGGCATTACCTGATTTGTTTTCCTGTAAGTAGACAAAATAACATTGTTATATATACATCAATTTATAAACTATATAAAAAATACCAATATAAGAATGTTCCATTCAAACATATATTACCTCACACTGACAACATAAGGCTCATGAAAATCCTACTTATTGAGGGTGCAAGTAGCTTTTCTTAATATAAAGGTCAAAGATTAATATGTTTCAATGGATAGTCAAAAAGTTTTGTAAAACACTTCTTATATACGCTGAAATGGAACAACATTAAATGCCTCTGCTGAAACAAAACATCAATTCCTTTTAAGGATTTGTACCCTCTAAATTTGATGGGTATTCATTAAGATGTGCATAAGTTGTTTGTTTTATCTAACATGTTAAATGCCATTTCTGTTCATATGTATCATCTGCTAAGACAAAATGGTGCCTTATCTTAACCATAGTTGATCATAGTTTTAACAGACTACTGTGATCAGATGACATTTTTTTCATCTCAAAATGAGTTAAAGTAATTTTTTCAGATGATTTTTTCAGTGAAAAACTGCAGCAAATAAAAAAAAATCAAAACTGTAATGAAGACCAGAATAGCTGACTGAAAAAGAGGTTAAACCAATCATGTTATTAGCAAGCTTACCAAACATATGACAAAATCCTTAGAGATGATTTACAGGCAATGAAAATATTGTTAATAATTCAACTATTTACTTGTTATATAGCTTTACCAAGTTAATAGATTCATCTTAAAAGTGAAAAAAAAATCCTAAAGATTTAAGACAATGAAAAACTGATTAAATTCAATTGTCAGACATCGAAGAATAAAAAACATTTGAACAAATGTCTATCATAAATTAAGAAATCTCTTGTGGTGACAGGAAACTTTAATATCATACTTCTTACCTTCAAAATTATTTCTTTTAAAAAGCTTTTTAACTCAAATAATTATTAATTGAACTCCATGCAGATTAAATTAAATAATATTCTGTCACATTTTAGTTTAAAATGCATGCATAAGCAAGATGCTTAGAGTTGTCACCCCTTACCTCAAACTTCTCAGCATATGCAATTTTCCTAGCATGCCGAGAACAGAGACCATGCTACAGCAAAATTTGATTTGAATGTATTATAATTCTAGTATATTCTACAACTTAATTATTTCATCTCTTTTTTTCATTGCACTAAATTTGATTTAGATGTAGAACAGCATCACAAAGACTTAAAAAAACAAATATAACAGAACAAGGGGGGGGGGGGGGGGTATAAATAGTCTAGGATGACATACTAGCAATCAGATTAGCCCTGATTATTTAACTGATTTTTTACAAGTTTTTCATTCAAATCATCTGTTGTTATTTCTTCAAAATTATTCTATCAGAGTAATTATAAAACTTAAGCTTTGAAGTACAAATATCTGAATTTTCCAATTAGAATTGAAATAATTCTATCATGTTATGCTCTATGCTCATTTCAACATAGATATGCTTTATATTTGTCAACGTTTTACACCTCAATAACGCTCAGTATAAAGATATGATACCGGTACCTTTAATGTTCCTTGTTCAAAGACCATTGGCTCATTTATAATAACATAATTACTTTTAAGAATAATAGGAAGGTCAGAAAAGAGCACAAAATTTATGTTTAATCAGGAAAAAATGTAAAGATAAAATTAAGAAATAATTCTTTCATGCCATGCTCTATGCTCATTTCACCATAGATAGGCATTATATTTGTCAGTATTGAAGATTATTGTACTGTTAAAGAATACATATAGTTTTTTTAAAATCTCATAATAGGACAAATTGGATGTATATACAAAATTAATAAACTTTCTAATTAAGTCCCTCTGGACTAACCAACTTAAATCATTGAGTTCTGGTGTAGGGCCTAACTTTTGAGAGCAGCTTTATATCTGGGATGTAAATATTGAATTAACTGTTCAAACTGTACATACACAATGTCTGTGCTGTAGAAGTTCCTGCTGTCTTTGTTGTGAAGCAGATACCTCCAAGATGTGACGCTGTGTTGGTGTCCGACTGATGGGTGAAATACTGGCCTGTGGATTTATCTGTGATCGTACATACTCCTCTACATTCCCATCTTAAAATACAAACAAGTTCATCTTATTAACATCAGTAACAAAATTGAAATCATTTCAACCACCAGAAGTAAATTTATATTACAATGTATCTTAATGTAATATATGTAATTAATTATCAGATAATAAAGTTAAAAGAGCAACAATGTTGTGAATGATAATAAACAATACATAAAATTACATTTAAATATAAAACTAAACTAGAGACTAATATTATACTAGCTCATACTAACTGCTTCATTATTATTTTGTATTTCTATAAGGGATCAAATGTACACTAAAAATTGGTTACAAAATAAACTCAATCCAAAAATTTACTCCAGATATTTTTTTAATTTTAATTATCAGGCAATATTCAATAGTCCTATTGAAGCAATACACCAAGTTAATTGAATTTTTTGATTAAAAGACTTAAATATAATGCCTGTTCAGATAGATTGATGAAGTCTACCATTGAAGGCAATAAGTTTTTTGAAATTGAATATCATTTACATTATTGCAACAGTAAACAATGATTTCAGATTCAGCAGAATCATTTTTTGTCTCATGTAATCAAATTTTTTTTTAAATTGTAGATCCTGATGGAACTGCACATTATTTAGATGATAACATTTATTAATCATTTTAATATTTAAAATGTCTCATAAATCTTACAAACATGACTATTGCTTCATTAACACATATAAAATTTCAATGTAAGAAGAAGTAAAATATTTGCAGATTGAGCTATTTTCTCCTTATTCTGACCATTCTTAACTATATTTGGAAAAAAATATATAATGACAATTAAATTTCAATAAATAAAGATTCAATACATAGCAACAGATACCAAGTCCTAGTGAAAGCCACCACCAGATAAAATCATCATAAATTTGCTTGCCTTATTAGTTTGGCTTTTTTGAAAGTTACAGAGAAATAAAAGACGAGTGCTGGCAATTCAGACTGTTTTTATTCAGACTGAAGATTCTTGTAACCATTAAACTTAACTCTGACAAAAGTTTCAGTTGAATTACACAGAATTTGAAACATAATAAACTGTTAACACAGAGATATGTCTCGCCTTTTTGTACTTTTGATAATGCAAATGTTGAAATTAAAATAGCAATACTTTAACATGTAAGTTATGCAAATATTCAAAGTCAATGAACCATGACTGAAGGCACATGGCAAAACAATCTCCATGGAAATGAGATGTGCCAATGTTAATACAACTGCATACCAAATACCATAGACTTATCATAAGTCGTTCCCTTTCAACAAACCTAAACACAAACAATGACTTGTAAACTATGTAAAAGTGTCAAAGTCAATGAACCATGATGAGGGGGTGGGGCTATATAATCTCCATGGAAACAAGACTTGCAAATGCCAATAAATTTGCATACCAAATATCATTGACTTAACATTAGCGGTTCATCTTAAACTGATCTAATCACAAACTAATACATGTAAACTAAGCAAAAGTTTCAAAGTCAATAGACCATGACTGAGGGGGCAGGACCAAATATTCTCCATGGGAATGAGATGTGCTAATGCTTATACAATTGCATACTAATTAACATTGGCCTACCACTAATGGTTCCCCTTGAACTGACCTAATCACAAACTAATACATGTAAACTAAGCAAAAGATTCAAAGTCAATAGACCATGACTGCGGGGGTGGCACCAAATATTCTCCACTGAAATGAGATATGCCAATGCTTATACAACTGCATACCAAATATCATTGACTTACCACCAGTGGTTCCCCTTGAACTGACCTAATCACAAACTAATACATGTAAACTAAGCAAAAGTTTCAAAGTCAATAGACCATGACTGAGGGGGCAGGGCCAAATAATCTCCCTGGAAATGAGATGGGCCAGTGCTAATACAACTGCATACCAAATATCATTGCCCAATCACTAGTGGTTCACCACAAACTAGACCTAGTCACAAACTAATACATTGTTGACGCCACCGCTGGAAACAGCATACCTATGTCTTGCTTTTTGACTCTGTCAAGGAGAGACAAAAATAGGTCTGAAGAAAGCTATAATTAACCAATGACATCTAAAGTTGTTAGTTTTCCTACTTATGCACATTTTAAGCAAAATATTCTCTTAACAGCACTTAAATGAAATGAATGCTGGTGCTGAAATATCACATTTGCCATCAAAATCATCTTTAATCTATGTGAATTTTCAATGATCCTCTACCCCTCCCGAAAAAGAAAAAAAAAACAAAGATTCACCAGTTACTATTCATGACTACTGTTCAATAATACAAGAACTGTTTTCCTATTCAAATGTGTAATTTTAATTGGCATTAATAGTGATGTCTGTTTTGATTCTTTTAAGTGCAGATTTAATACAAAACACATTTTTACTTTCCAAAACTATCAAACAATATCTTTTTGTCATCATTCATTTCCAATTGTTATTTTTACTACATTTCAACTCTAAACCTAAACCATTTTATTTACATTCTACTTAAGGAACTATGTATTCAATTGGCAATTACAATACTAAGATTATTTTGACCAAATTATGACAACACATGTTGTAGCAATCTGTGCTTTTTATCTTTTGTTCATATAACAAATTAACAGATAAATATTTATATTTATCAGATTAACAATTCATTGAAAAGTTTATAAATATTTAATAAATAAAAAGAAAACTTTTGTGCATCTGTCTAGCTAACATAAATATATAGTACATATAGCTTGTGCACTAATTACAAACTGTGCATATATATACATAGATGTGGGCCGTCTTACGTGGCGGTGGGACGAAATTTTTAGATCTCTGTATTCTCTCTTTCCAAACACGTACAAACGTATTGCCTACAACTGAATATATGACGTTGTTTTTTCAATACATGCATGCATCTTTAATATTTCAATTCTAGCAAAACATAAATAATTAAATTTATAAAAATTATGTATATATATCTAGACAGAAAAAAAAGTAACTCTAGTATCATTCTCTGCAAACCAAAATTAACTATAAATCCATTAATCAAAATTAAATAAAACAAACCAAATTAAAAGATTAATATTCTGTTCATGAAGTGTATAAAGTAAATGTAGTTCAACACAAATTTCATTGGGTTTTCACACCATGCTCTGAACATGTTGCATGATCTAACTTAAATGTATCATACTGATAGGGAATTTTTACATGAAAAACAGTATGGCTTGGTTATGATAAGATTTTGCAATTCTTCATGTACATGCAAGTCTGCAAATTTTCTGAATTCAAATATGTCACATGCCAGTACTTCAACCAACTCAGGACTATAAAAGTTGTATGATGTTTTGGACAAAACTTTCTCTAATAATCAGTAGGCCATAGAGTTCAGGAGTCGGTTTCACAAAAAAACTTACGACTAAGATTGATCGTAAGTATACTGAATTGTTCGTGATTTACGATCAATCTTAGTCGCAAGTATTTATGTGAAACCGACTCCAGGCCTTTTATAACTCATGTCAGGGGGTGTCTTGGTAATGAATGAAAGTGTCATCAAACCCTACCACACCTCCCCTATCCATTTTTCCCTGGAATTTAATAAAAATTATCCCTTTTTAATGTTATTCATTCATAAAAAAAATCATGATTTTACATTACTTAGTCATACACTTCAAGAACAGCCATTTATATAAATAACGATACACTACAAAAATTATCAAATAATATTGAACTAAGAAACAAACACACTGTTGTTAAATAACTAAAATATTACAAATTCAATCCTAATATGAAAACCAGTGCAAATTATACAATGTGCAAATATTAATACATACTTAATAATGGAACATACTATCAAAACCATGTAAAAAGTAACAATAATATACTACTGCTAGAAAAAAAGAGTAAACAGTTCTTGCAGTTATCCAAGACATATCTCACTTGATCATGTATTGCTCATTTGGTATCTTTGTTTAAATTATTGTTTTTAATTGAGGTAACATCAACACCCTTAAATTAACTATATACTGTAAAGTGGGCAGTTTTCGTGATTAAAATAAAATCTTGAAAGTATCTCCTCACATAAACGCTGACCAGATTTTGTTGCATTATTCAAATGTGGGGAATATGTCAATGAGACTTATGTAAATTACTGCCACCAATGTCCATGTAAATTCCATGTATATGACAATAACAGATGCCAAGTGATTGCAATAGCTCATACGATCCACTGAGTCAAGTGAGCTAAGAAACTTTTTATACATCAAAGCATAGTATATTATTATTGCTTTCAAATCTATAAGTTCCTATCAGAAATCATGACTTGAAATAAAATTGTGAACAAATATCAAATTCTATTTATTTGGAACCCATTTTGAAAATTTTTATTAGAAAAAGGGCAAAGAAAACTAGCTTTTGGACAAGAGAGGAATTTGTCTTCATGCAAAATTCTATAAGATTGAGTTTTCTTTTACATTGTTTTCAACATATTAAAAGTATTTCTAAATTCTTACATTTTGCTAACTTCAATACAAATTGCCTTGTGCAAAGGTGTTTGGTTTCATAAAACTGTATGTGTAATGTAAATCACTTAAAAAAGTTAATACTTAGAACTTGAATATTAGTAAAACTTGTGTTAGTGGTTCACACATTTCTATTACACCACATTTAAAGGACAGTACTACACACTGGTGAAGTGACACTTAAGTGGTGCTCTCCCTTTGTAATTTTGTTTTTCAGTTAACACATGGGATGATCACATGCAAAATGGACCTATAACTTTCTACAAGTATCTGCCTGAAACTTACAGTACTTTGTTGTTATTTTTTTTTTTTTGTGAATAATTTTTAAAAAAGTAATAAAAAAAAATCATAATTCATTTTAGTGATTCTTTCTACTTTTAAATCTCAAAATTAAAATAAAAGTATATGAAAGTAAATTAAAAAAAATAACAATATTAATATACAATCACTAAAATTTTACAGTTTTGAAATAAATGCAATCATACTTAATTTGAACATAAAAATTTAATAATAAAAGTAAAAAAGAAACAAAAATTCTCAAAGTAATCATTATTTCAATTTCATCATTGTATATACTTTCTTTCTGAAAATAATATGGTTTTGTGCTGATCTTTGTGTTCCAAACAAAATCTGTGAGTTTCAGTGCAGTCCTATACCAATGAAGCAGAGACAAACTCCCACCATGCAATTTTCTTAGCTACCTGTAGGCATCGTTAATAGTTTAGCAATTATCTCATCCTGACTTTTTTGTTGGAAGGGTTTGATGGTCTTGGGATGACCCCGTATACCGTGGTGTAGCCAGTCGGCATCTAACAAGTAACAATTACAAATACATAAAACATCACATATATACAGCTAAGTGTCAAATATTTTATGATTCAGATTTTAGCAATTAAATCAATATTGTTTCAACTTCATTTTTGACTTACAAGACCAGCTTCCATAAATTCAATATTGATGGATTTCAATGACTGAGTAGTTCTCATCTGTAACCAATAATGGCCATCATACTATACTTGCTCATTGTTGAGAACAATTTGTCTTTTAATATCCAAAATTGCATGTCATCCATTGTTTCAGTGTTTCAATTTTAAAATTATGTCAAATATATTTTTGTTCAAAAAATGACATGACAAAATCTGCTATCCCATGAGAACTGCTCTCTGATCAATTTAAAAAAAAAAGAAACTAATTTGACATTACGCTGTATAACAATTAAAGCATTTAATTAAAATTTATAATTTAATGATTAAATGACAACATATTTTCCATTAAACAGATAATGTCAAAATCTTTTATTTTAAGAGATTTGACACAGATTTTAGGAAAACTGCATATCTTTATTTTTATTTTTATTGATGCTGCCATTAAATCATTCTATGTATGAAAATAAATAAAGGCATAAAGTTATTCATCTTGATGAAGGCAAGCTTGACAAATCAAAAGTTAAATATCACTGTAAAAAATAGCAAATGTTTTAGAACAACTAATCTAAAGTAATTATATTATTATGAACTAGTACCAGGTCATGCATTATTTTTTCAAGTCAAGCTTACTATCCAAGACAAAAAATAAAACATAAAATGTTTAAGCACATGTAAAAGCATGTTTTAAAACAGCATGTTGGTTAGCAAGACAATTACCCGACATGCCTGCTGAACTGCAAAGCTGGCTCAAATTTTGCTGAATAGCTAGAAATAGCACAATTAAAACTTTCACCATAAAAGATAGAAGAAACAAAATCTCTGGGATACAATTATTAATGTTTAATGTAGGATTTGTAAATTAGTATTAATGTATGATATGCAGTTGTGAAAAAAAAAACATGGAAAAGAGGGGAACAATGTGAATGGAATGGGTTAAAATAAAAATCCCAAGTGAAAAAAAAACAAACTTAACACAGTTTAAATAATCTAAAATATAATATCCCAAAAACGTTTTGCAATTTAGTCTCAAATTACAAGTATGATTGCTCAAATTGTTTTATAAAATGTGTATAAAATAATTTTACATCCCCATTCATGTCATTTTTTAATAAAAAAAAAAAAAAGGTACATACATGATTGATTGGTTGGTGTTTATCACCACTTTCAGCACTCTTTGCTTTTCGCAATATTTATTGTGCCTGGAGAGAACAACCAACCTTCTGCAGGAAAACTTGCAATCCTAGTCAATTAAGCTGGGAGTTGACCTTTAAATGTACTTAAGACAACTTGACCACCCAGGCCCCCCAAAATACATGCATACAAATTTCATCTTTTTTCTATTTCATTCATACTCTCAATACAGATAAAAAAAATAAAAAAATTGAAATTTACATTTCTGTATTAGCTTATTTAACATTGTTATAAAAATTTCTATTTTTTTTTTCATTATTACATGTTTAACTTCTGTATGTATGTTATTGTATGTACTTACCATTTTCTGTAAATTACATGCATAATAAAATAAATGAATTTTCCAGTAATCTATCTCTGTGATATACAGTTGACAAACTGTTTTCAAGAATACATTTCAAAAGATACAATTTTCTAAGCAAGATAACTAAAAATGTGTTTTCACTTGTGGAGACATTTAATTATTTCTAAAATGTTAAATTTTTACTATCTTTTGTTTTATTCAATAAGAAAAATTCTTTACCAATAAATTTAAAAGTTTGACTGTATATATATCAGGGATGAAATAAATTACTGACTAATTTTGCAACTGGCATTAGGATTAAACAAAAGCATACTAGCACAGTGTGTTTGCGGTAATACAGTGAATACACAGCTACCAAGATATAGTGAACAGTGAAATACATGCCAAACAAAGTGTTACCTCCATTTTGGACTGAGTCCGATATCTGGGCAGCCATGATGCTGGCTGCAACTTTTTGCTCATGATGCGGACACAATCCTTCCCATTGAAATGGCATTGCATTTGAAAGTTTTCCCGATCCCGAGTAGCGGAAGTGTGGCTGAGTTGGCACTGTGGGAAGTATATAGAGTGTACATGCATCACGAGTGTGCTACAAGAAAGCTGTGAGAGGACACAACAAAGCATTCTGGGAACTACTAAATTAATTCTGAGTATGTGTCCACTTCCAATTCATTTTAAGTAATTTCGTTATTTGTTTAGTTCAAAGTTTCTGATCATTTAAAACTATGTTGTCTTCAGACTAGACATAACCATTTTTTCCTTATCATTATTTTCATTATATTTAAAAATGTTTCAGTTTAAATGAAAGAAGTGTTAGAATTTCATAACATACAAAGGTCAAATTCAATCTGAATCTGGATCGGCACATTCAGGAAGACTTTGTTTGATATGAAAGATATTGATTTTTATCATATTTTATAGTCATTATTACACTAAGAATTTACGATTTAAACACACTTGTTAATCTTGTTATGAAGCTGCATTTGACAGAACTAGAGGGATGTGATGGAAGCCATCACAGAGGGCCCAACTGCTTGTAAATAAGAAATAGTGATGTAATTTTAGAAGTTATTCTATTTCAATAATTTTATGTACATATTCACAGGGGTGACTAAATTGAACTAATATTTTTACCCGAACGTTCACTGTAGTTTTCTTTTATGTACATGAAACACAACTTCTAGTAGTGGTGAATAATCATGCAATGTTTCATGACCCAACTCCAAGGGGTTACATAGTTAGAGAGTAGAAACAATATTTTTGTATCTATGAACAAGGATGACTTAAAAGTTTTTGACCAGCATTTTCACAGTACAGAACTTTGTCTCTCTTGTACATGACAAACACCTCCTAGTCGTGGTGAATAAATATGCAGTTTCTTTACTAAACACAAAGGGGTTTCAAGGTTAGAGAGTGGAAACAATTTTTATGTACATAAGCAGAAGGGCGACTAAGTTTGTGACCACCACTTTCACGGTACAGTTTTCTTTGAACTCCAAGGGGTGTGGAAGTTAGAGAGTGGAAATGATTTGTGACAGACTGATCCAAGGAGGCACAGAATCATCACATACAAACTGATTACTATAGGACTTCAGCTGATGGATCAGTGGGGACCCAATAAAAGTTTATAAAAAAATTCTGTTTATCATATTTTAAATGATATTTTCTTATTCCACTACATAATTTAAAAAAAAGGTTCTGTTCTAATTATCATAAATTTTGACATGTTAAAGAATTTATTATGTATATATGTAACACCAACACACTGAATATATTTTCCTTTGAATATAATTGCTATGCACCCATCCAGAAAACCATTGTGCAAACTGTGTTTTAAGATTTTATAATATTTGTCCTTTCTGAAGAATAAGAGTTGTTTCCCTTTGACCAATATGGATAAACTTGCATACTGTGTAAAACTTTAAATCCAAAAAAATACATTTTGAAATATATGACACACGGCAGGTAATGAAAAATCCAGTATGAAAAAATCAACTCTTTTCTTTAGAAAGATCCTTCCCAGTGTAAAAAAAAGCCAAGTTATGCTGATTGAGATTTGATTTGGTAAATATCTTACCCGTACTTTGAACATTATGTGGTTGTTGTTTTATGGGTTCTTTTCGATGAGGACATCCTTCAATACAGATGATTTACGATTGAATGAAAAACATAAAATTAAACCCAGTCTTCCTGAATATGCAAGTTTTACTGACTATTCCCTTTCATGGTGGATAGACTTTTACACATTTACCAATGCACACATATGTACTAAAATGCTAGCTGGTAGTTGTTTTCATATTTAAAAGAGTTCTGAAGCACTGTTGAAGATTTTCGCAGAGGTCCATAAATGATTAAAGAAATCATTGTTTCTGATCATTATGTTTTTGCATTTTTTTTTAAGGTGAAAGACAAAAGAGTATTTTTTTGTGATTTTTGAAGACTGTTATTTCCCTTCAATCTTTATTTTTCAGTGTTATTAATTCACTCAGAACACACCGTTTTAAATTTTCTACAAAGCAATTTGTTATCTGCATTAAAAATAAAAACATGAAAATACAAATATAAATTAACTTTATCAAAAATATCATTCAAGAATGAAAATTAGCCTACAGGACCATAAATCTATCTAAATGCAGAAAGAAAACCATTCCTCAGAAGAAAGTCTTTGAGGGCTGTTCAATAAAAAATTCTATTGAAATCACTGAAGGCATAATAAATATTTAAAAGAAGGAGGTATGATAAAGGCAGTTATATGGCTCTTGAAATTACAATAAAGCAAAATTGTACAATACTTTCAAAGATCACAAATATATTATTTGGTAGATTTTAATACTTAGTGCCTTTTTAATTTCAAGAGGTAAATGAATGACTTTATCAAACCTTTTTTTATTTTTTGGTTGCTGGGCAATTCTGAAAATTCCAATGGAATAAACTGTTAAGAAATGTTGTTGATTGGGATTAGAGGAGAGTGCCTTCAAATACAAAAGAGATTTTCTTATGTAACAGCTCTAATAATTCCTGATACCTATTCAAAGAAATTTCTTTTATCAATGATCTGAATTTTTACCTCTACGTCTTGGATAAATCTTATAAATACTGCCTATAATATATTTTAAACTTCAACTAAGAAAAGTAAAGTAAATTTTAAGATGCAATTATATGATGAAAATTTGACCATTATCACACTCACCAAAATTAATATGTATCAAGTGATTGGTTCGCTATTATAACCTGATTGTTAAGTAGACTTATAACTGTAACTTTTTATATAAATTTGTTGAATGCATCTCATTTACTTTTCACTTTTACAGCTATTGGTCTGTGACGATGCTTTATATTAACTACAATATTTTTGCCAAATCATAAAACATTATGGAAATTTTTGACAGCTTACTGCCTTAACATGCTGAATTGCACTATAGTCTAAAGAAAATTTATGTGCAACAATTTCTCAGTAGTTTACAAATTTGACCATTTAATGTTTTACTAAGATTTCATTATTTTGGTGTGTTGATAATTGATATTTGACATGCTGAACATTCAATTTATTAATATGAAAACTTTTTTTTATTAAATGAATAATATGAATTTAAAAGTGAGTTCTTATGAAATATTATATATGACTACAAACACATGCGAGTTATCCTTGTTTATCATGCATTTTTTCATGCATTATCCTCAGAGACATGCTAATATTTCAGTTGAAAAAACTAAAAATATACATACTTTCTCCTTGATTCATGAAGCCATTCCTCAGGTATGCATTTGTCAATGCTTCTAAATACTCATTCTGTAAAAGACGTTTAATCAATTAATATGACCACCATCAATAATGTTTCCTTTGACAAAAATATTCTTACTAGCCTAGACATTGAAAAACATGAAAGGCAGCAAAGAGACGTCTTCCAATGGTCAAAAGAGGAATCAAATCTGATAAGGCAATCCCAAAACCTTCATTTAAAATGTAACATAGAAACGAAAAATCGAAAATAAATGATAAATGTTATAAGTCTTCATTACCCCTACTATCATAAGCTTTTTGACTTACATTCTTCTTAAAATATAACAAATATTCAAAATGAATCTAAACATGAAATAATAACATGAGGATTGTTTGAATGGAACCTGCATCGGAAACTTAGATGTGAACAAGAATGTGTCCATAGTACACCGATGCCCCACTCGGACGTACAGACAGAAAAAACATAATGCCCCTGTACTATTGTAGGTGGGGCATAAAAATAGGTATGTTTTGGGAAACTGTAACATGCTAAGGAATATTTGGAACATTCTGAAAGTTGGTAACATGAAAGATCTTTAGATTTTGTGTGTACATGATGTTTTCCCATTTTTTATAACTATATGCAGGAAAGATTAACATTTATTGGATTTCAGTTTCTCAAGCTTCTAATGCAATTATCTCGAGAAATAATGAACATAAAACATTGTATATTTGCATTTATATTGCTAATAACAATATATAGTTTAACAAACTATTTATCTAAAATGTTTCGATTATTGTTAAGAAATAACTTTTGATCAGTATCATCACCTGCATTGTTTCACTATTGATTTTCTTGATTTTATCATTAGAGTGAATTTTCTATTGTTTTCATTCATCAGTTTTGCCACTGATAAGGTCCAAGTGCAATACAAGAAATGAAAACATGATATATATGGAGTAAATTATCCAATAATTACTGAAGGCTTTTACAAATTATAAACCTATAACCATCAAACGCAATTTGACCCACACCAATATAATAAATATACAAAATATATTTTAGAAAATTATACATAGGCTTGAAAACTATTACCATAATTCAACTTTTTCACATTGAACAGAGTTATCCTTCAAAGATTCATCCCCATTCTTGAAAAGAAAAACCATAGACTGTTAACACAGAGATATGTCTTACTAATGTAACCTAATCAAAAACTTTAACAATTATTGACACTGCCATAGACGATGCCAGAAAAAACAACCTAAAATCTTGTATCCCTTACTTTCTTCGCTGGCATAATAAAAAATTGGATATACCAAAATGTAAAACATGTTAAATAATAAACAACTGAAAAATAACAAGTGGAAAGTCTCTGAAGTCAAGGTCAAACTACACATGTACAAGATTTAAAAATGGGTTCTTTCAATTGACTTGTAAGCACCTTACAATTAATATATAAACCAAGAATAGTTGACTTTTACTTACACTTGTATTCCTTATTAGAACACAGTGACAGAGGAAATAATAAACCCTATGAAGGTCAAGGTGAATATATTAACTATCAAAATAAGGTTTCATGAAAATTAAACACCCGCTGAAATGACCAGTAGCCAGTTTTTGTTCAGAATCAAGTATGACTTACATAGTACAAATATCTGGTCTTTAGAAACAATCATTTCTGACAGACGAAACCTTTATTTTTTTGTATCATTTTGTCAAGAAACAAATTTAATCACTACTTTTTTTTTAAATAGTATACGAGAACTACAAGTTCATTATACCACATACACACTGATGTTCTCATGGGAAACAACTCTTACAAGAAGGATTACCCCTTTCAATATGAAAAGCTGAATGAAACTTTCTTGTGAAAATATATACTTTATGAAAGCTGACCAAATCCAGAACACTACTTTTTTAACAGATTTTCCCTAATAAAGAAGACTTTACCGAAAACTGTGGAGCAACCTCTGATTTCTCACATTTGAGAGTAAATGGTGGGCCCTGAAATTTTTGAATTATAGAAAAGGTATAAAAATGCTTAAAAATTTGTCAATATTTAAAATTTTTAAAGAACTTTTCTTTAATTTCCATGTTGGAATAAAATGTACAAAACCATTTTCAATAGCATCAATATTCATCAAAATAAAATAAAGAATATGTGGTATGATTGCCAATGAGACAACTATTTATACTGACCAAAGAACAAATATATAAACAAGTTGTTAAATTTAACATTACACTGAACTTGTACATTTTAAGTAATCAGCTTAATTAACATGTATGATAAGATAAAGAAAATAATTTATTTATGTGAAAAAATCCTCAAGTAAAATATTTAAAGAAAGTTGCAAATTAAACCATCACCAAAAGGAAAAAAATAATCATTGGTTCTAGTCTTCATTTTCATTTAATGCATATACAATATTTGTGAATTGTTAATCATGATATTATAAATAATAGAATTAAAATGCATTACCTACTTTTATTTGTTAATCATAATATATATTTCATAGATTATTTGTACAATCAATTATACAATACTATAATTGTTCCCATCTCAGACCCAAAATACCTTCTTTGACTTCTTCATTGCAGGTTTTGCATAAATCTGTAAAACCTTCATTTGAAAAGATATATATCTAACTGTTGCAGTTATAAAACTATCTATTTACTCTATAAACCACCTTACTTTCCTCATTTAAAAAAGATAAATCAAAGTTACCAGTTGTAACAAAATATTTGAAATTTAGAAGAACCATACTATCTATGGTTACATTTACTAACTACTGTGGATTCATTTATTTTCATGGGTACTAATTTTCGTGGATTGATAAAAACTTGCATTTTTGTGGATATCTAATTTCGTGGTTTGCCAAAGTCTGCATACAACCTTATGGGAAATTTGTAATTCGTTGAACATTTTAATTCGTGGTTCACCTGTACCAACGAAATCCACAAAAATTAGTATCAAATGAATAATGATGAACCTACAGTATATGAAAATAAGGAGATGTGGTATGATTGCCAATGAGACAACTATCCACCAGAGTTCAAATGATGAAGATATGAGCAATTACAGGTCAAAATACTCTTTAAACCACCTAACCACATAAAATTAACTACCTTTGGATTGTCAGACCTAGGACCAGTATGTAAAGCCTAAAACACAAACACAATCTGCACGTTTGTCCAAAGACATAATTCAACAATGTATAAAAAATTCATATATAGTTCTTATGCAATATAACTCATTTGACGAACAAATAAAAAAATAGGAAAATCTTAAATTTACCAAAAAAACTTAACCAAAAGCAAACAGCACAATTGGTTTTTCATGCTAACTTGAAACAAAGTTTTCTTCCGTTTTTATAAAATGAAACAAAAATAATTTTAACAAGTAACATAATATTTCACTTTTACTTCAAAAAATAATTCTACTCCCCAACCTATAACTGAAAATTTACCGTGTAGGACAATGTAGCATGAGATCTTAACACCTGCAATTACAAGCGATTGTTACAAAATCATTATAAATTTTTTTCCTGTAAATTAATTGAAATATGTTCTATATTTGAAATTCAAATGGAAAAATTAATACAAAAACTTGATTTTGATTAAGAAATATATAAAGCAAGTAAATTAGATATAAAGCAAATTTTAAAAAAATATTATAGAATATTTGGTTTTGGGAATCGAGTAATAAAAACAAGTCATACAGCTCTACTAATCTATATCTGATTCTACGGGTAACACAAAAAGTTTGTCATTTTGGATTTATCTAAATGTACAGTGCAAGCAAGTATTATCTAGGTTGAACAAAATAAATATAATATACAAGATAATACAGGTATCTGGAAAAAAAACCCATAGAAGCCAGAAAGAAACTAATGACAGGTGAGAAAATGTTATCCTTCATTTTATTCCTAGTATTTTCAAGGTGTATCTTGAAGCATTGCGTGAAAAATAATATCATGAAATGAACTCAACACCTACCAGTAAAAAAACAAACCACAAAAACAAAGCCCCTACACCTATTGTTTTCAATAGCTGCTGTACACTACCACACTCAAGAAGCAAAAAAAACTTGAAGCATAAGAGAAAAGGTCAAGAAAAAGACAATAAAATAGAGTAAAATATTTGAGCATATGATTTTTTTCCATTCACGGTGTGCATTCCTGCTTAAGACTAGAATTGTCAATATTTTAATATTCACAGTGGCCCAAATGCTGTATTCAAATTGTGCAGACATAATCTTTAAAATGATAAAAATAAATTACCCTTTTTCCCTTTTGGTCTTCCATCTTTTCACCACTGACTTCGTAAGATTTAGGTCGTTTATTGGCTGATGTGGACATATACCGCATGGACTGAGTCTGTTAATAAGATACACACACTAGCATTTAAATCTGTTGCTATAACAACATGAACTAAATAGCAAAAATGTGTCAAAATCTAGGACTCACTCTGAAATGATCTTTGTTTTCTTATAAGTAAGTAAATAAAATGTATTGTAAGAAAATTTCTGATTTTTTTTTTGCCAAAAGCAGAATCAAAAATATATTAATGACATTTTATAGCCCAGATATGTTAGTTTTTTTGTTGCAAAATTTAATATTTATCAATAAAAGTGTAAGAAAACAAAGACATTTCAGACTTTTGTCTCTTTATGAACTACAATAGCAAAATTTAAATAAAATCTAGCACAAAATCTTCAATACAAGCAGATGATTGTACTTTTTACCTATGTTATTTCCAAGGGGGACCTTTCCTCACCTCCATTGCTTCTGAACATGGGTTACTCTGAAAAATTACTTCATCTTTTATTTTTTGCTTAGGTACAGCTGATCTTTTTGAATGTGTACTTCATGTACAAAATTTGAATTGCTTGTAATTTCGTGAACCATGAATTCTTTATTAGCTATTTTTAATACAGCAACAAACTAGTCAAAAAGGTTTTTCAGCCAGCCTCTTATATATATACCTGTCCCTTGATTTGATTGGCTTTTAATAACTATTCCTACTTTTACAATAAGTAGTAAACAAAAAAAGGAAATTTCATGGTCCATTGAACATGCAAGCAAACTTAACTGTATTGTTCTTTGAACAGACTCAAGTCTATGTGCTGTAAAACAATAAACATAAGCCTGGCTAATTAAAACTTATTTTCGGCATTATTTTTTCATCTAAAAATCTACAGACTTGCCAATGTCATTTTACAATTTTTTTCAATAACTCCTGCTATTCAATAAATTAATTATTTTAGGAAAATTGTTTTTAATTGGCACAAAAAGCAAAATCCTTAGGGCCTACAAACTCTGCGAACAATGCAGAAGGGAAAGACTCCCTTGGAAACAAGTTGTGTCCTATTCAGAATAAACATATCAACATATTTTAACACGACAAACATGTCATATTTACTTTAGAAAAAAATCAAAATATGTGTCTGCGACAAAGTTTCTGTGGTCTACTATACATTTCAATAATAATATCTGTGATTTCAAAGGCAGGTCTTAGTTATTAACAATTTGAAGGTTATCTTATTTTAATACTGAAGATTTAAGCAACCATTACATTTTGGCTAGAAATATCTATGCTTTGATTATAGCTTTTCAAATATTCCTCATAACTTTCAAATGCAAACAAAAGAAAATCATTTTTAATGTATGAATTGAGCCTTGAGTTAAACATACAAATTTAATTGTTCCAATTTTTTAATGAGATCCCGTTTTTCAGTATGTTTCTTAATGTCACATGTTCCACCCAGTATAATGCTGGAAACAACGTAATCACAATCATGTAAATTATGGACATCCATTTTGAAGAATTGTTAAAACCTCATATACATATCCTGCAAGAAGGTCAAATTACAGCAAAGGTCATTTAAAGTAAATCTGAAAGCATCTATACATTTAAATTATACATTAAACATTGAAATTCAAAGAGATCCCAGTCAGCCTTCAAAGCAATTATTAGTTGTGAAAAAGTCATTCAAATCAATTTCTGCTACTTTGGAAGGAATTTCTGATTAAACAATGAAATGTGTCGATTGGACAGATACCCACCAAAACCATCACATTTCCATGTTCGATGAACAACAAAATCTGGTCAAAACTACAATTTTGCATTTTTTTAAAAGTTCATAATCAACATGATTACTAACTTTCAGGTTGATTTGACTAAAACTTCATGGTAAATGACTTTAAACCTAAAATTTAACCAGAGATTGGACAGATGAATAGATGGAAACAGACAGAAGACATAAAGCCCTCTACGATCATAGGACGGGCATAATAAAATCATATAGGGACATTTCATAATGAAGTCGTTGACATTACAACATCTGCTGTCCCACAACCACTGAAATTCATTCCAATCCAGCAATTGTTAAATACCGTATTAATGCAACAATATCATATCTATTATAGGCATTTACCCCCCTCCAAATCACTCCCCCCCCCCAAAAAAAAACAAGAATGTATCCATAGTACACAGATGCACCACTCGTACTATCATTTTCTATGTTTGGTGGACCGTGAAGTTGGGGTCAAAACTCTAATTTTGCATTAAAATTAGAAAGATCATATTATAGGGAACATGTGTACTAAGTTTCAAGTTGATTGGACTTCAACTTCATCAAAAACTGCCTTGACCAAAAACTTTAACCTGAAGGGGGACAGACAGACGAACGGACGCACAGACCGAAAAACATAATGCTCCATAAAAATCAAAAACAGCTAGTCTTATTATTGTATAAATTATTTTTGCATACAACCAATAGGGTCCAAAATATTTTTTGATGAAGAATAATGAAAAGAGTCAAGACCAAATAATTTGAATGTCTTATTTTAAAGACCGAGATGAAAGTCTGTTTATAAGTTGTCAACAATACATTAGATGTTAGGCACATTGAACACTACACATAACATTTCCTCATTATAACATACAAGAAAGGCTATTAGAAATCACTACTTTATTTAGCAAAAGTTCAAAAAAGGTATTGTTCACTATTAATGTATTAAATTCATTACCATAGAAAGGCTTGTATAGTCCGCGGTTTTATTCTCCAAAATTGGACCTTCCAGACGGGGTGCGGACTATAGAGTACAATAAGCAAGAAATAAGAGAAAAATTTCAATTTCGCGGGCGAGGTGGTTTGTTTACGTTCCGCCATCTTTGTTATTTATATTGTAGAGGGCGCTCTTATCATTTTTCAAACTAATAATTTTAACTCATCCATATTAATAAGTTATTTCTATTCAATATCAAATTAATACTGATAAATATAAAAACTAAACCTTTCATTACAAATTTCTCGTTTCTTTTCAATGCATTGGTTGAAATAAACTGGTATCTGCTTGATTGAAACGATACAAACATAGTGAAAAAGACAACCGTAAACCAGCTTAGAATTTGTAAACTACAAAACGTAATCGGTCATTGTTCGTTCTGTTTTGGTGTTTCATACTGACTAATATGGTTTGTATTAGCTTAAGACCCTTCAAACATTAATGTGATAGATATATTAAAGACTGTTTTACAAAAGGATGGAACTGTTTTACTTTCAAAGTCGTATTATAGTGATATCTGTTATGTACGGATTTCGACTCTCACCGGTTAATTTCTTCTTTTACATGTGCTTTTTAAACTTCCTGTTTAAACATACACAAGTTTCTAAATTGTTTTTTAAGTGAATTAAACTTATTTTAACAATCATGAAGCGTTCTAGAATCATTTACAAGCAGTTTCAGCTTCTGTTTGATGATGGAAAACAGGGTTTTCCAAGAAAATACCGCAAACGACCGCACAGGATTTGAAATTACCGGAGTTTCATTAGACCTTTTCTAACAGTTACAAAAAGTTTTTTTACCTAAAATTTCGTGGGGAGAAGGGGGTGCGGACTATGTACCACTGCGAACTATACAAGCCTTTCTACGGTAGTATTATTAGTGCCTAAGTAAAAGCACTACATGATAGTTTTTAGAACAGAAATTTTAAAGTTTCTTTTTTAAAGAAAAGTTCAACAGACAATGTTTTGTACAGATTGTTTGATTACATTAAGCCGATAGAGATACACAAATATTTTAATCCTCAACTCTACGCCCCATTTTTCCCTAAATATGTCCTTATCCTCATATATAAAATATTCCTTGCTTGAAAGAGAAAAATTAGCCCCAAAAAATATTTTCAAAAGTTTATGTTAGAAATACTACAATCTTGTTTATATGGCTACAAGAGTTTTCCGATATTTAACTTGTAAGCGACATTGATAAATGACAAAGTTAGACAGAAGTACTGAAGCATGCTGCTATAATTACCTTCACCTTTTGTTTGTAGAAGTGATAGAGGGATTGAGCATTAGTAGAATTCCCACAATTCACTGCTGATGATTCGTTCTTTGCATCAGGCTTAAGATAGGAAATTTGAACAATAGTTTCATATTTATATTAGCAATTCTACTTTATTTATTGAAATGCAATTAAAATACAAAAACTGTTTATTATATTTATTTCTTATCCTTCCCTTTCTCTATTTCCTCTTACATGGTTCTAAAGCCAAAAAATAAATTTACCATAGTTGTCTACCAAGCGTTTAAAGCTAAAGCACTGCCTCTTATGAGATACAGCATTTTTGAACAAGACAAATCAATTTATAAAAAAAAAAAAAACAATTACTATTACCAATGCCTATTTTAAAGCTTAAAATATTTCTAATTCCAATTCTAAACATGTTTATATACTACGACTTACAGGAACTTGCATTGGAACCTTGAATAATCAATTGAACATTTGTGACATTAATCTACATAATAAGTTAATTAGTATTCTACGACAGAATAAGAAAGACATACACTTATTATTGTACTGTAGATTCATTTATTTTCTTTGATACCAATTTTCATGGTTGAGAAAAAATTGGTATTTTTGTGGATGTTTTATTTCGTTGTTTTGCCTAAGTCTGTATACAAGCCTACAGAACATTTGTACTTTGTTGAACATTTAGTGGTTTACCTATTTACCCCTGAAATCCACAAAAAATTGGTATCCCATAAAATATTTTAACTCTGTTAATTATGAATCCACAGTAACATACAAATAAAGCTTAGCTGACCCGTAAGGCAAATAGACAATTCATTTCATGTCTTAAACATTTGTATTTGTGAATATTTCAAACTTTAAAAAAAATATTACACACATTTTCCCTACAACTTCAAACATTCAGAAAACATATCAGTATAAAATATCTTAATATCTCAGATGTGAGTATCTATTTGAATATTGACCCATGACCATAAAAAAATATAAAGAAACATTAACACATGATTCTAGCCATTTTTTACTGATCTTCAAAATTTAAACTGCTGTAGGGGAGTGGGGATATTTTTTTTTTTTACTGCAGCTACAAACTAGCTTAACTACTAGACCTAACAACACAACACACAAAGACTAAATTACAATACACTTAATCACCTATTATTCATAATACCAAAAATGAAAGTGCCATTTCTGGTTTTGTCGACTTACTAAATGGCCCCACATCTGAAATTATTTGTCTGACAGTCAAAAGAGTATATGTATGCTTGTTACAGATGTTTGTTACAACCAATATTTGATATATACCTTATCTTGCTTGGCATGTGAACTTTGATGGCCACTGAGATTCTTCTTTTCACACTGATCCTATAAAATATGTACAGTTTATCAGATGCAAAGGATATTATATTTGAAATCTGTGTACAAGATATTTTTTATGAATCTATTGGTTTAATAGCTATATATATATAGACAAACAAAGACAATATCTCATTTTTGTGTAGTTGTGCTGAATATTCACGTCCTTCTCATAAGTGTCCCTGGTAAAATAAAAAATAATCTTCCATATTATAATAAGTGTTAGAAGATATGGTTTTTATTGGATTGTTCCATAAACTTCAATGAAGACAAGAGGACCTAAAGTATTCCATATTAGTGTCACTAATATTTTAAATTTAAATATTCTATGGTTGTGAATGAGTATTTATGTGCTTAAACATATTTTTGACTCCTTAGAATGAATGCTTGTTTTGAGGTGTATGTATAATTCAGGATTTGAAATGTGGCATCTACACCTCTCCCAAGGGAAATACCCTAAAATTGTTATAGTTTACAGGTCAGCTTATACTATATTGCCTGAAAAATATCAACTTGAAAGATTAAATATAATTTGCCATTTCAGATTTTAGAATCTAATGCATTCTGGGTAATATTTTCAACTGCATTCACCAAAACTTTGTCATCAGATAAGAATGTCCTAAATGATGGAAATTCAACAAAGGACTGTTTAAAAATTATTTTGCCCCTACACCATCCCTCTCCACCCCCCCCCCCCCCCACTCCACCACCAAAAAAAAAAACCCTTACAAAAACTATAGCTTTCTGTTAAATACCATGACATTTGAACATCCAAGATTATTGTAAAGTATAATTTATCTTAACAAGTTAACATGTGTATAATTAAAAGTGTTCAATCAATAGTTAGGTAAACGTTTACAGTGAAATCAAAATACAAGGAAAAGTGACAATTATTCAGCAAAATATTAGAAAGAAATTAAGAACATTATTCAATAAAGCAATAACACAGTTTAAGAAACACACTGACCAGGATGAAAAATGGAGATTTTAATGTGGAATATTTAATATTTAAACTAGACTGGTAACTTTTTGTTAGGTGCAGGATCAAAATACATTGTGAAGCTAAGGAAGAAAAACAACAATATCACATAATTTATTACCTCATCCTCTGTTTTATCCTCAATATTACTCTTAAACTAAATAAAACAGACAAATGTTGTCTAAGTACTGTCTTTCTCAGACTCATGCACAGCAGTATACGGTAAAAAAAACACACTGTTGTTTTGAATTCACAACTTTGCATAAAATAGACAGTTTTTTGTTATGACTAGAATACTTTCAACCTATGTTTGATGAAACTTAACAGCCATTTAATTTGTGTTTATAAGTTAAACAGAATGTAGTATGTCCATTCATTGGTTTGCAAATAATGACAGACATTACCAATAAATCAAGGCCCAGGTTTTAGCTGTTTATCTAGTATACTGTAAATTCAGAAATTTTTGCAATGTTTTTATTTGCAATGTTTATTTTTGCGTAATTGCAACATGACAGATTTCGAAATAATTAAAATTCACACACATTTAAACTTTGATAGCATTATCTGCATTGTTTTCCTCAAACGTAATAATCAATCTTACATTGTTGTCAACTGTTCAACAACCATACCAATATAGGCATGCAAATATTTCTGAATTTACATTACTTGTAATGAAGTGGTTTGAGATACAAAAAGTCTTACTGATGCCGGTCTGTCTTTTATCTTTGTATCATCCTTAGAACTTCTGACTCTGTCTCTCTCTTTCTTTGACTTTAATTTCTTCTTCTTTTTATTGAAAGGCTAAAGAATATAAAACATGAATTTATCAATATATCAGTACTGAATGTTTCATCCAGACTGTACAAACAGTATAGTGCATTGTAGTACTATAAACTTTGGAAATAACTGGTTTGTTTCATTTTTTAACTAAGAATATGGAATCTATAACATAAATAACATATAATCGATTTTTTCTTTATGCTATTATATGACTTTAGAAAGCTTTAAGTATGAACCAAATTCTATCTGTTTATGAATTACTTAGCCAAACTGTTAAATTACTTGCAATAGTCGCATGTTAATAATTTTTTTTTTATTCAGAGGTAATGAAGTTAGATTATAAATAGTTTCAGGTATTATGAAAACAATCACTATATGCTTGTGTTATTCATTATTGCTTTTTATATTATGATAATGACATTGAAGAATGTAGCTGAAAATTAATATCAAAATCTTGGGATGAAGGAATTAAATCATAAATGTATGATGATAAAATATCAAATATTGCACCGCATGCCAGATTGTCAATAAAGGTCTGATCATGACATTAAGTTAAAAGCATTACGACACGACAGACCAGCATCCTACCTCAAACATAGACAACCTGGTGTATGGTCTATGTCCTGGAAAACTCTGTCAACAAATATCATCAAAATATTGTATGAATATTACACTTGAAATTTTACTTAAAGGCTCAATTCCAAAATACCCAAGAAGCATACTGTAGACATCTTGGTTTTCATTGGTACCAGTTTTCATGGATTGGAGAGAAATTGTTTTTTTAACTTGATACTTGATTTTGCTGTTTTGCAAATGTTTAATATAATAATAGCAGTATTAGAAATATATACTTTATTAAAAATTTGCTGATCACCTATAACCACGAAATCCATGAAAATTGCTACCCAACTAATAATAAAGAATCTAAAAAGGTCAGGGCAAAATTATTTTTATTTTATTTTTTTTGTCAAGGTGCTGTAGATAACTATGCCACAAGGTTTTTTGTTAGGAAGCAGCCATTTGTTTTTTTACTGTATTTTGCACTTTATATTTTCTTTGCCAACTCAAAGTCTTTTTACTATAGAAGTAATTTACAATTCAAATTTTGCAGTACAAAAAATTGTACCTCACTGCATCTTATTTCAACTTCAAAGAATATATTCATTTCAGCACAAAGCAAATATTAACCTTGTGGTACAATGCCTATACAATCCTTATTTTGATCATTGAAAATAAAAAATTTAAATAACATTTTTAAATTTTTTTAACATAGTAACAATTGCTCGCCTTTATGCAATAAAAGAGAAAGTTTCAATTCAATTATTAAGCTGATTAAGATACATGCATTATACAATCCAATATCACACTTTTCAAGTCTTAAATTTTTTTTGATAAATACTCTTTTTTTCTAAATCTTAACGTACTATGCAGAAGCTAAAGTTTCAATGAATTCTGTAAAATTTATAGAAGCAATTCACAAACAAAGCACCACAAAATGTGTCAAGATTCAGCTCCATTTAAAAGCCTAAAATCTAACCGATAAAAAGTTTCTGTATTAAGAGCGAGTCACTTCAGACCTTAGCAGGTCAGCTCCTACCTGATATAATGATAACTGGGAGTATGGCCTATGTCCTCGGTAATTCTGTTGATCATAATAAAATAATCCTCAGAACAGTAAATAGCAAGAGAGTTATCTACCTTTAGTCATATTTGAAAAAATTTGTAAAGACATTCAAGAGTTTGAATATGATCTGTTTGTAGTTTAATTTTTTTTCCAATATTAACATACATTTATACAATGAACAAGAAATACTGTACTAATGAGTAACTAGACTGTTAAAAAATTTACTCATACAAATATTTAACTTTATTTTAAAACTTACCAATAATCATAAGCGGCAGCATAAAAGAAATAGAGGAATAAAATTCAGTAGTGTTTTGTCTATTTATAAAACTATTTGTCTTAATACAATAATAAGATTGATTGATTGATTGATTGATGATTGCTTACCATCGCATCAGCACAAAAAGGCTATATTGCCATGACATCATTAAGATGTTGACTGTCGAACTAAATAAGCTAATGAGATAAAAGATTTTTCTACCAGAACAAAATGAGTTATATATACAAATTCATTTGTCTGTTTCTAGGTTATTGTTATTTAATAGCTGTATGGTGAAAATTATATCATCTTTAGTTAGATCATTTTAAAGAGTTTTTGAATACTCTAAATGTCATCTCAACAAACTTGCTTAATATCAAATACTTGGTAATGCAATATTAAAGTTTGACACAAACAAATTGCACAAGGAACAATTTACAAAATGCACAAACAAAACAAAAACAAAAACAGTTAGTACATACATGTGGGTGAAAAGTTATATATAAACATTTAAAAAATGTGAACTCGTAAAAATTTCAAATGTAAATTAGATGAAACAATAGAATAATATTAAGGGACTTTTTTTTATATTGAGGAGATTAGTTCTTTCTGTCAATTCAATTTCAGGTAATTGAATCACATCAAAATAATTGTAAAACGTGGATTTGCAATCAGTCTTAGATATCCAATAATACTAAGTGGTTACAATTTCTGTGATGTTTGATATTGTTGGAGAACTCCAGAAGAATGGGGATTTGGTTACCTTTTAAGCTATTATTTTACAATTTCAAATAAGAAAATCTTATTATCTTGGGTTGACAGGAATGATTTTTACCAGAATATTAACAAGTGAAAACATTTAACATCTTCGGAGGGAGATTACCATTCAAAGGTGACTATAATTCCCCTGGAAATATGTTTTTGTGGATAAATGCTGTCATCTGGCAAGAACTTATAAAATATAAACTAGAAAACAGGATCAAATTAAAAACAAAAGATTTTTTCACAGATATTTCATTTATCAAATAAACAACATGACCTTTTTAACTGTTCTTAAAGGTGTTTTATGTGCAGACAAACTTTGTTCAATTCATAAAATGTTATCAGTAAAAGAAATTAAGGTTATATATTATTTATGTGAAGAAATAAAGTGAAAATAGAAAAATGTATATTTCAAAAAATGTTATAAATAAATGAAAGTGAATTACATACTTGTGCAGCATCCTGCAAAATTGGGACAAATCACATAAATTGTTGTTTACTCTAATAACAGTAGACTAGCAACGTGTTAAATAAGTCCTCAGTAGACTATATATCTACTGCTGATTTCATAAATAATAAAAAAAATAGAGAAAGTTATATGTAACCAGTTATTCAACTCATCAAAAGAGGTCAACTTATGTGAAAAGCTGTGTTTCATTTGTGAAAGTGGCAACCTTGATAGAGGGCAACTTTTTTGTTGTTGGTTTATTTGAAAAAATAAATATTAATATTTTTCTTATTTCCTACTATGAATACTGATAAAATATTACTAACTACAAATTATTATTCCATGAATAAAGTAAGTAAAATGTTATATATATATATATATATATATATATACATAGTTGTTAAAACACTTATTCAAAGATTTGTAGGTAGATAATGGTGGCACACTTATTGTGAGGTAAAATTGTCTTCTTATAATATTTATAAAAGTATCTTTATATCAATTGACTCATCTAAACAAACACCAACAAACATACCACCAGGAAAAAAGCTGAAAGAAATAGTCATCTGGAGGTACCTACCCTTTGAAACTGTAGATGTACAGGTGGACCATCGGAAACAGAACTGTCTGAACCACCATCACTGGAAAAAATATTTATACTTTCTGTAAATAATATCAGTTATTTTATGATCAAGGATTACTGGTTGTCTAAATAAATGGAGGATGTGTCTATGGGCCACAGATGCCCCCGCTTGGAAAAACGCATGAGTCAACTTCCACATACAGATGCAGGATTCACGTAATTAAGACTGTTTTGTGATTAAAAGTGTAAGTTTCATAACATTTGGTTGTACATCTTTGGTTGAGGAGAACGGAAACGACAGATTTAGCAATTTTTCCATTTATAAAGGGGCGTAACTCATGAACAGTAAACGTGACCCCCCCCCCCCCCCCCCCCCCCCCAATTTCGAACTTGATCTGTGTTTTGTGGTAATAAGCATTGTGTATAAGTTTCATACCATTTGATTGAGGCAAACTAAAGTTAGAGAACGGAAACGACAAATTTAGCAATTTTTCCATTTGTAAAGGGGCATAACTCATGAACGGTAAAAGTGATGCCACCCAATTTCTAACTTGATCTGTGTTTTGTGGAAATAAGCATTGTGTATAAGTTTTATAATATTTGGTTTAGGCAAACTAAAGTTAGAGAACAGAAACCAATTTTGGGGACGTTTGGGACGGACAGACGGGACAGACAAGACAAACGGACATGGGTAACACATAATGCCCCCTCCGCTACGGCAAGGCATAAAAAGCAGAATAAAATACAAATGTTATATGTAACACCTTCACACTTTTTAAAATAATTTGACCAAAAAAAGTGTAGTGTGTGGAATAGCCTGCTAAATAAGGTTGACTTGTAGAAACTATTTCTGTTTAAATTGACCTTATAAGACTTGCATGTAATTGTTATTGGCTTAGAAACAAACCATGCAACACATATTTTTCCAGTTTCACAGATGGCAATGTAATTTGTTGTTTCAGAATCAAAAGATCTGGGAGTAATTTCATTGTTTGTACACCAAATAAAAATCATGTCACATGATTGGTTAAATTTCTATTGCTTAGGACCTTATCAACCAATCACAACATTTTGGTGTTTTTAAAAATATTACCCAAACTGCGTTAAGATTCAGAAAATGTGAATAGGTAAAAGATTGTTAAAATTTTTACCTAGACTCCAATGAAGAATCATATTCATCACTAAGATCTATATCAGCACTGTTAAGATCGGTGATACCCTGTCTCTGTAACTTGGTCATAATCTCTCTCTTCATCCTCTCCTCCAGTTCTAACATTACATTGCTCACCTAAATATACAGACAACAATCTTAGACAATTGTTCCTTAACAAAATTTTTTACAACAGTATCAAACAATTAACCTTTTGTTAAGGACTAATCAATTTCAACTGGTGAATTCATTTTTCTTCCCCCCCCCCCAATTACTTTTCTTTCGGTGTATGCAACCCTATTTTTTTATGTATACTACAAGTAGCTTCCCCTAGTATGACCCTTTTCTACCCATTTAGTCTGTGTCGTAATCAAAAGCTGCCTAACTAACCAATACATGCCTTGTAAAGGGTTCTATTCATTCAAAAGTCTACTTTTTTTTATTCTTTCATATGCTACTTTCCTTTTATCTATGCAAGCAGACCAATTAAAATGGCTTAATAAAAATTTAAGTGCATTATTACTACAAGCAATGTAAACTACATGTTTAAAAAGTTTTTTTTCCCATGATACATCTAGTAAAATGATTTTTTATAGCTTAAGATAGTAAAGTTCCTCCTGTAAGAATCTATATAGTACATACTACTAAGGGAGATAATTAATAAATCAGCTTTGGTTAGTACATTATATTTTACATTCATTATACAGTATATATGTCAAAAAAAAAAAAGGGATTTAAGTAATCTTGGACTTAAATTTCAACTAAACAAGGGAAGGTAAAAGAAGCATAGCTGATTATAGTTAATTTGTATAAATTTTAATCGACCTTCTGCATGCCTGTAATATATAACTTTATAACTTATCAGATGTGGAATAGATGTATGAAGATAGTAATCCATGATTAAATGATTTGCCTGGTCCATATATAGACTCTTTAAGGAAGTAAGAAGATCACTAAAGTATCAAATGATTTCCATAGAAATGTGTCTGACAGGTACATGGTCATATGTTATAACTCATTTGTCAAGCTGATAGCTAAATATGAAGTCATTCTGTTCATTAGAACTGGAGAGATGTGTGACAAGAATATTATGTTCATTCAACATATTGAAAAATTAACCCTCAGCAAACAAGAAGAAGGTGTCTGACAGATCTGAAAAGTGGGCACACAACTCATCCCTGCCAAGCTGCTAACCAAATATGAAGTCATTCTGTTCAGTATTACCTGAGCAAGGTGTGACAAAAATATTTGTTGACCAAACAAGACAGAAAAACAGATGGACAAGGTGAATGCAATACAGCCCAAATTCCTAGAGTGGGGGTATAATATAAGTCATTGCTGACTACTTTTAATGGGATGCTGCTATACCCCCTTAGATGCATCCTTATACTAAGTCATATGTCATGATGCCACTGAGATAAGAACTTGGATGAACAACTTAATATTTCAGTGAAGACTTAAATGTAACAGAATAACCATGTCTATGTGATCTTCATCTTATGATACAAGACCAAGTCTTATGGTTAAGTTCTGACAACTTATTGTGCACCTCAAACCCACAGTTATGAATGTCAAGGAGTACTCCAATAGTCCCTACCTCTTTGTTGAGGTTAACTAAAACTATGAGTATTTATTTTCTACACAAATTAAATTTGGTAAACAAAATTGTAATAAATGTTTTATTTTTTAAATATTTTACACATATATGAAGATATCATATAAAAGAAAAGGGTTTCCTGGAAACTTCAATGTAAGTTATACAACAACAACAACCCTCAAATAGTAATTTGTTTTCAACTTTTCTGTAATATAGAATTTTAAATCTTGGAATGAGAATTCAAATTAAAAGCTCATTTGGGTAAATTTGTTTGGTGTTTTTAGTAAAAAAGCTTGTACATTTTACAGGATGCCAACATAATAACTTTGAATCACATTTTAATCACAATAACTTACTGTAGCATAAATTAAATGAAAAATATTTAAAACAAAATTTGTGAGGGTTTAAGCAACTGTGCATTCAATTTACATAAAAACATTTAAAACTAATGTAAAATATTCATATATAAATATAAGACCATGTAAAGTTGAACCATATTACAAATTTCATATTCTTAAACAAAAATATGGATCTTAAATCAAACTAAATGAAAATATCAAAAACCACAAAATTCAGATTTGTTCTTTTCTTTTTTCAAAACTATTTACTTCCAGTTGATATTTAAATTCTTCTAATGGAAATTGGAAAAAATCTTTGAAAAAAATAAATTCTAAAGAAATCAGAATTGTGTGGCTTTAAATAAAGTAGAATTTGTACTGGAGTTTTTCTGTTTACAGATTGGAGTGTAGTGAGAAGTTCATAGGCATGCTACGGTGGATTTATAATTACCATACAATGTTAAAAAGCCAGCACCAAGGCAAAAATAGAATAAATTATTAAATCATCATTCATATATTTTATAAGTTAATAAATACAACTAACTGTAATAACTAACTGTGAAAAAAGAAAAAAAAAGGTTAATAGTTAATTGGGACTAATATATATAGAAAAAAACTGCTATCTATATCATAATATGTAATTCAAATAAAAAATTAGATATCAATAGCAAATAATTATTGAAGTATTAATGTGTCTTTTAAACTCTTCAATATTAAAGTTATATGCCAACAATACTAACAGATTACAGGATATAGCTACTCTAAACCAACTAATTCCCGTGAGCAATTTATTTTTTGCGACTTTCGCGAGTAGAAAAATAAAGTGAATATAAATTGTTGTGAATATGTAAAACTTGTATCTTTTCTTATTTAACAACATCAAGTAAATTTTAATATTGTGAAATAAAATCGCGGCAAAGTGGCAAGAAAAGACATAACGCGAAACAAAGTATTCGGGGGGAAATTAGTTGGTTTACAGTAGACAGTAGATGAAAATGCACACTTCACATGATCACACACATGACTCTAGGTTTACAGTAGAAATATACCTTTGTTTTGTCAGGATCACAGTAGTCTAACAATGTATCACAGAAATGGAAACCTAGCGATTCATAATCTGACATACTGAAATGGTATCCTTTCATCTTGCCCATGGTTGACCCACAGAATGTTGCCTGTAAAACAAAATCACATAGTTATACTTCTAACCTAATCAATTTAATGCTGATATATATATATATATATTCAAAAGAATACCTTGAACACTGGGTATTATCAAACTGATAATAAAAGAACAGAGTTCTAATGTCTAAGCATTGCACATATTTTATCTGTCCAAGGGCAATGACTAAAAAAATACCTTCTTTTTTGTTCTCTAAAACTTTTTATAATTATTTTAGAGAAATGAAGGCTTGAGAGCAAATTTTGCAATGCAATTTCCAATATAATTAATATTTCAAAGGGACATAACTCTTCTACAAATATTTGATCGGCACTGATTTTCAAATCTGTCTGAGACATTGCTGATATAAACCTTTGATATAAATTTGATAAAAATCTGGCAAAAATTGTACACCTGAGAGCTCTTACAATGCAATTTTCCATTTAATTAATATTTCCTTGGTGCATAACTCTTTCAATAAAATGCTTCGCTGGGGCGCAGCTTGATACGACCGCAGAGGTCGAACCCTGAACAGTTGGGGCAAGTATGGACACAAAATTCAAGCTTGATACAGCTATGACTTTGGATTGTCATTAAATATTTGACACAGCATAGGTTTCTGACACAGGATGAATGTGGTGTAAGAACTGGAAAAAATTTAATTTACCTATTATGTTGGAATCTCCATAAACTAAATTGTTTGTTAATTTCAATATATCAAAGAATATGTAGAATTCAATGTTTGATGTAATGTAATAAAGTTGAAATTTGGACCGTTTTTGTTCAATGTGGACCAATTTGGTAACATGTATAAATAATCAAAAATCTAAATACATGGGAGCCCATTTAAATATATCATAAAGGTATTAAAATAGAAAGTGACATCATAGTCATGGCTAAAAATAAACAAAAGTCCTTAATCAGCAACATTTAAAGTAATATCTAAAAATAAAATTCCTTTGTAACCATAAAAGCCCATTTAAATACATCATAAAGATATTAAAATAGAAAATGACATCATAGTCATGGCTAAACATAGCAAAAAACCCTTAATCAGCATCATTTAACAGTAATATCTAAAAATGGAAATTACATCATAAAGGTATTAAAATAGAAAATGACATCATAGTCATGGCTAAAAATAAACAAAATCCTTAATCAGCATCAGCAACATTTTATAGTAATATCTAAAAATAAAATTCCTTTGTAACCATAAAAGCCCATTTAAATACATCATAACAGATATTAAAATAGAAAATGACATCATAGTCATGGCTAAACATAGCAAAAACCTTAATCAGCATCATTTAACAGTAATATCTAAAAATAAAAATTTCTTTGCAACCATAAAAGTAAAATAGAAAATGACATCATAATCATAGCTAAAAATAAACAAAAATTTTTTTATTGGCAAATTTTAAATGGAGTTTATTATACTAAAACAATAAATTTGCAACCATAAACATGATAAAACCCCATTTAAACACATCATAAAAGTATTAAATAATTCAACTACATCATAAGGCTATAAAAATAGAAAATGACTTCATAGTCAAGGCTAAAGGTAAACAAAAAACCTTCATCAGCAAAATTTTATATTGGCAAATTTCCAATGAAGTTTATTACACTAAAATTGTTGGCAAATTTCCAATGCATATATTAACAATAAAGTTATTGGCAAATTTCCAATTTACATAATTTAAAAGCAGTGTAGATGAGATATTTAAATGAGTTTGAATTACCAACCTTACACTGCTTTTAAATAATGTTCTTTACTCAATTATTTGTCTATTAAAATGGAAACCCTTGTTTTTAACCTTTTTTCCCCTTATTCCTTAAACATTAGAGCAATAACCACCACCACCCCCCCCCCCCCCCAAAGCCAATTATTACTTTCCAATGTAACCTAAATTTCCAATATACATAATTTTAAATTTCAATTCCTCATGATATATAACCGTATCATTATTATTTTCTTTCATATATAAATCTGAAACAACCATCTTTAAATCGAAAATTTTAAAGAAAAAAAAAGGAAAAAAAAAAATCCTACCCCCCACACATTTTTTCAACCCCCTTTTGATTCATCATCCCCCACCTCAATCACAACCTTCAATTTGTGGTATGGTACATTGCAATACAATTTCACAGAGATCCATACACTTGAACACAAGTTTTTGTTGCAAACTAAAAAAATCCTTATTTTCGACCAATATTTGGCCCCTTATTCATAAATGTTTGAGCAATTAACCCCAAAACTCAATTCCTACTTTCTCTTCGTGATAAAAAATAACTAGCTTAAAATGTAAATTTTAAACAAAAAAAAAAGGAAAAAAAAAAATTACCCCTTTTTTGACCCCCGCCCCCCTTATGATTCATCACCCCCACCCCCCTTTCCCCCCAAACCAAGCTCAATAACAGCCTTGTCTTTGTGGTATGGTACCTTGTAATACAATTTTAGAGAGATCCATACACTTGAACACAAATTATTGTCTAGAAACTAAAAAAAACTTATTTTAAACCCCTTTTTAGGCCCCTTATTACTAAACGTTTTGGGCAATTACCACAACACTCAATTCCAGCTTTCCCTTTGTGAAATGGAACCTTGTAGTAAAATTTCAGAAAGATCCATACACTTACACACAAGTTATTGTCATGAAACTAGAAAAATGCTTGTTTTTTGCCCCCTTTTGGCCCCTTATTCCTAAAATTTTGAGGCAATTAACCCCAAAATCAATCCCAGCATTGACCCTTTGTGATATGGAATCTTGTGGTACAATGTCAAAGAGATCCATATGCTAACACACAAGTTATGTCTGGAAGTTACAAAAATGCTTATTTTCGGCCCCTTTTTGGCCCCTAATTCCTTAACTGTTGGTACCATAACCCCCAAAATCAATCCCCACCTTCCTATTGTGGTATTGAACCTTATGGTAAAATTTCATAGAGATCCATTCACTTAAACTAAAGTTAGAGTGCGAAAACCATTGTGTATTCGGACGACGCCGCCGGACGTCGACGACGACGACGACGACGACGTCGTATAAAAATAATAGATTAATACTGATTAGCTTACTTGTCATAGACATTGCTGATATAAACCTATGATATAAGTTTCATAAAAACCTGGAATGAATTGTATACATGAGTGTGTTTACAATGCAATTTTCCATATAATTTATATTTCTAAGGGGCATTACTCTTTTAAAAATAGATGATCAGCACTGATTTTTAAAACTGTCCGAGATATTGCTGATATAAATCTATGATATAAGTTTAATAAAACAAACTGACAAGAACTGTACACATCAGAGCACTAACAAGATTGGACAGACAGGTATCTCTATGTCACCCACACCGCATTCTGCCCTTAAATTCTGGTAAGCTCTTAAATAACTTCCACATTTTAAACAAATGTTATCCTTGCAAAAAAACATACAATACATTGAGTTAATTTATATTTGTTCCTGCATTTTTATCCACGATATTTACATAAATCAATAAAATTAAATTCAAACATAGTCTGTACTTTTATGAAGTATGAACTCAGTTTCTATCTGAGTACAAAAGGAAAAAGATTTTCCACAGTAAAATGTATAATAAGTATTTGCCAAGTTACCTCCATTGTATAACTATTGAGGATACCCATATTCCACATGACTATCCTTCCTGTTCCATCCTTACTCTTCTGTACCTTAAACTTACACGACTCATAATGGAACTGAAAAGGAACAGTTAACAAATTACCGGGCTGATATCATATAGACTTATTAGACTAAGATTGAGTATATAGACTTATTAGACTAAGATTGAGTATATAGACTTATTAGACTAAGATTGAGTATATAGACTTATTAGACTAAGATTGAGTATCACCACAACAAGTGTCATTAAATATGATAAGAGGATTTCACAAAACAACCATTTTGCCAAAACTTATCTCCATCTTCCATTTGATACCATGATTCTTGAATAATAATCTAAAGGCTTAAGAATAATAGACATCTGTTTGGGATTGAGCAGGTGCAATTTTTTAAATTTTCATTTTCTGTCTAAAATAAATGCACTACAATACAACTGTTTTCTCGGACCAGTGTTTATTATATGCCTGTTTTGTTTTACTAACGTTATTCTGTCGGACTGTTCAATATAGTTTTTATAAGAATTCTTTGACTGCTTTATAAATTGTGTCTTTTGGTCTCTTGTGGAGAGTTGTCTGATTGGCAATCATACCACCTCTTCTTATTTCTATACTGGATCTAAGAAAGGCACTTTGAATTTCATGGTGCCTTGTGTCAAATACTTTTTTGTACAGTGAAATCTTAAGTGAAATTCTTAAATTGCCACTATAGGTGTGTACCACTTTTTGAAAGTGTCTTCCCTGGGCACCATTTCTGTTTTAATGGAACAAACCTAATTATTTCATTCTATGATTAGAAGTACAGTATACTAATTACATATTTAATTCAGTGTTAGGCTGTGATTGACTTTGCATTGTGTTTTCAAAACAATAAATATTAAGGTGGAAAGTTTAAGTAGTCCAGTTAAAAAAAACAAAAATGATTAATCAGTGCAATGAAGTCTTCAATACTTCATGACAAGAAAACATTATGCTTATTTAATACTTTCTGTACAGCCATATCAAAATGAAATATTTCAATAAATACCAACCCAATGATTTAAATGAATGTTATCACTAATCCCTCATACTTGGAATAATTTAGCATACTAGTTACCTTATCAGGTGCATTTTTATTTAGCATACTTGGAAACACCCTTTCTTTTAACCTCTTGTCTGGAGAATATCGGTTCTCACAACCATATATGAACACATTTTGTTTTCTACTATGACCATGTAAATCACAGTACACTATAATTTCTCTTTCTTGAAGTAATCTGGAAAAATAGATTTCAATATAAACAAATATACTTAAAAAAAGTGTATATCACCAAAAGTTGCTGCAAAAAGGAACATAAATAGATATACAGTAACCAACACATAAATGGATAGAAAATATCTTTTTTTTAAAACAAGTCATTATTATATCAACTTCTTGGATAAATCATTCATACAAAGCTTTTAACGTGGGAGTATGATGGGAACAGACCAAACAAATTATGACGTTGCTGATTAGCTGACATACAATATATTCATATTTAACCACAGGTGTGTACTCAAAGCATTTGAAGAAAGCCATATAATAATTTTAGATAGAAACTACAAAATAGTCAACTCTTTTGTTTATTTAACAGAAATTTAGGTGAAACTTTATATATTCTTGTCTCAACTATATAGTCTGTATTTCTCAATTTCACTTTGAATTGTCTCCCCTTAATAAATTGAGTCACTAAAAGGCACATTGTTAAGTTTAATTCTACAGAAAAAAATGTTAATCTTTTTAAAATAAATCCTGGAACAAACCTTCTAATCATATTTTTTGTATGCCACACAGAAGGATAAGCATCTTTCAACACAGTTTTATAGTTTCTATTTAAGTCTCTTCCTGCTAAGGAACACCTATAATTTCCAACAATCACACCATCTGGGTTTAACATTGGCACTATTTTGAATATGAAAGTATCTCTCAACAGCTGGAAAATATAAAGAAACATACATATATATATATATGCTTTAGTTTAATTAACATGATCATCCTCGGGACAACAGTTTTGTAATTTACTAACTTGCATCTAAAAATTATATGAAGAATGCAAAAATGATCAGTTCCAGATATGAATGTATGCTGGGTCCAAAGGCACTTTTTATTTTACTGTGCCATTCATAAAAATTTTAATAGATTATTTCCTGTACTTGTTCAGGCTATCTTGCTTAAACAATAATTGCCTTGTTACCTCTTCCCCATATCCAACCCAAATACAATCAATACTGGAACAGCCCTAACTGCATGTGCTTTAACAAACAAAATAATATAAAAGCATTGCACCTTAAATTGTATTAGACTATTTCTGACTACTGAATCATTTTTAGCCAAATATCCCATGCAGTCTAAAAATAAAGACATCCTAAAACAGAAATAGTTTAGGCTGCTGCTATTTTGTCATTTGTCTCGTCAAATTTTAATTTCCTGTAATAGTAGTTAAGTTATCTCTCAGATAAATATCGTGTATTGTGACCAATATTTTTTTATTATCTATTTTTTATAGATCTAATTATTTATTGAGACAAACCTTGGCATCAGCAGAATTGCCTGTAAGATAATCCAGGAAGCCTTTCATCATCCAACTGGCATTGCATTCACCAGGGTGAACACGAGAAGTTATCACAACTGCTTTTTTGTGCTGTAAAAATATTCAATGTAAAGTTAAGTTATTGATTGAAACTATTTAAGACTCTTAGGGAATGACTGTAATATTTTTTCTGTTTATGAAGAAATAACATCAAAAATGTGGTGCACACTGAATAACCTGCATAGTGGGTTATTTAAAAGTGTGCACCACATTTTTGAGGTTAATTTGAATAGACAGAAAAAATATTACAGTCATTCCTTATAATTTAATTCTAAATTCCATTTCTAAGGAGCAAATCATGAAAAAACGTTGATGATGTCACGGTCATCTGAAAAAATTATGTCTATGAGCTAATAGACAACAAACTTTCAACCAATCAGAACATGTGTTACATCCAAAATTAAATTATTTAAGGAATGACTGTAATATTTTTTTTGTCTATGAAGAAATAACATCAAAAATGTGGTGCACACTGAATAACCCGCATAGCGGGTTATTTTAAAGTGTGCACCACATTTTTTATGTTATTTCTAATAGACAAAAAAAATATTACAGTCATTTCTTATAATTTAATTCTAAATTCCATTTTAAACCGGAGTAAACCATGAAAAAACGTTGATGACGTCACAGTCACATGACAAAATTATGTCTATGAGCTGATAAACAAAACAGCGTCAGCCAATCAGAAGACGCGTTACATCCAAAATTAAATTATTTTAAAATGTACATAAATTTTAGACTCAATATTGTCAACAAGACTAACACATTTGTATATAACTATAGGTGTTAAACCTCAAATTAAGTCTTTGCTTGAGAACATACACTAAGAAGTAATATTTTCTTACAAAGCGGTTTATTCCTTTTTGTGTGATGCTTGAACAACAAAAGATTTTGGAAAAAACTCAGTATCAAATGAAAGCTTAAAGTGTCTGGATAATTTTCAAAATAAAGCTTCAAGGAATAATTCACCAAATTATCAAATTTCATGAGCTGTCAAGAGACGTGTTAATTTCTTCTAAGTTTAACACCTAGGAACAATTCTCTTTTATATGCAATTAAATATTTCCTTATTTTTTAAGATGTCTGTAAGGAGTGTAGTTTTCAAATAACATAGTTGAGGTCTGATTTTAGCTTACGGCAAAAAGATCTTTTTTTTTTAAATCATAGAAAGAAAGGGAAATGAAAAGTTTGTACACTCAATATATGTTTATTTGATCTGTTGATGTTTATAAAGAGGGTAGAAAGCACAATGACTGGGACTGACAACCCTGTCATTATAATTACCTTGATATCTTCTGGTGCTTGTGAAGGGGAGGTAATTGTGAGTACATAGACTAGATTTCCTGCTAATGTTCTACATAAAACTCTCTGTTTACATATCTTTGACTTAATAGGATCATTTGAGCAGTCCAACAAATAATCCTGAAACAAGGAAAAAATTATTATGAATCATAAATACACTACAAATCACAAGTTTCAAGTTAAAAAGTATTTTTTATATGATTAACTAAATGTTTTTTTTTCAATATACTATGACAGGGATTTTCCAACAAAACTTATGTTGGAGGTTTTATTTTTTAGGTATAGGTTGTGGGTCATTTATGGATGTATATACACTTGATGTATACAAAATATCTTGGTTTGTGGATTCAGTGTACAGCCAAGAACAAACTTTTCTATAATAATTTACATCATCTCAACAAATTAACAGTTGTTTCTTTGGTTTACTCTTACTTTTCCAATCCAAAATATACTCAAAAGATGATACAAAGCAAGGAAAATAAAGGAATTTAATAAAATATACATAATTTTTGTTTCTGAACATCTTTATCTTAAATCATGTTACGGTAAGTTTAAGATCATTTATGGTAAATTTAAAAATAGCACTAAATTCTAGGCCATAATTTAATTTTCCTCTACTACTTTGTTTGCAATACCTAAATTCAACTAAAACCTTTTATTCTAAAACAAAAACAATAAATGGGGAATGTGTCCATGGGACACAGATGATGCCCCCACTTGCATATCATATAAAGTTATAAAGGGACATAACTGAAGAACGGTAAAAGTGACGCTACCCAAATTTGTACTTGATTTGAGTTTTGTGGTAACAAGTATTATGTATTAGTTTCATAACATTTGGTTGAGGCAAACTTAAGTTAAAGAATGGAAACAAAAAATTCAGCAATTTTTCCATTTGTTAAGGGGCATAACTCTAGAACAGTAAAAGTGATACCACCAAAATTCAATCTTGATCTGTATTTTATGTTAATAAGCATTGTGTATAAGTCTAATAACATTTGGTTACGGCTAACTTAAGTTAGAGAACGGAAACGAAAAATTCACCAATTTTTTCCATTTGTAAAGGGGCATAACTCTAGAACTGTTAAAGTGACACCACCAAAATTCAAACTTGATTTGTTTATTGTGGTAATAAGCATTGTTTATAAGTTTCATAACATTTGGTTGAGGCAAACTAAATGTAGAGAACGGAAACGAAAAATCAACAATTTTTCCATTTGTAAAGGGGCATAACTCTAGAACGGTTAAAGTGACGCCACCAAAACTTAAACTTGATATGTGTTTTGTGGTAATAAGCATTTTGTATAAGTTTCATAACATTTGGTTGAGACAAACTAAAGTTAGAGAACGGAAACCAACTTCGGGATGTACGTACGTACGTACAAGGGTAAAACTTAATGCCCCCTCCACTACAGCGGGGGCATAAAAATAGTAATACAAATACCTGTAAATCTGTATATGTATATGGAAAACAATGTGCAAAATAAACTGTGTCATGACTATTTGGAAATTGTACAGTCCATGTTAATGAATAGAATGGCTTCTCTCCTCTACCCGATTGATACCTGAAATACATCATTACACCAAAAATATATAATGTGTTCACTAAATTTATTGCAAGTGGTCAATTATAATTAAATTGTCACCTGAATCAGTCTGTTTCACCAGAGCATTGTTAATTTCAACACCTAATTTAGTTAGGTCTTCTTACAATTAAAACAGAACTTAGCAATTGTTAAAAATATGGTTAAGACATACGTGCCTTCTGCTTTAAGTAATACTGAATGAAATTTTAAATATACAATGAAAGTTCCTTACATCATTTCATTTGGTCTCTGGTGGATAGTTGTCTCATTGGTAATCTTACCACATCTTTTTATTTTTATAAGTTACATTTGCCTGTCCAGAGACTGGAATCTTGTTATTGTTTGTCACTGGTTCTCTTTTTTTTGTTTTTAGAATTTGGAGTGGATGAATGAATTTTTTTTTTTATCTCTTTAGAATTTGGCATCGATGAATGGTTTTTTGGTTGTTACTGTTGGCTTCATTTAAAAATAGAAACCACACTGATGATTATGACTCGCCTACCAATGGATGGATTCTTGAAGACTGTGTGGCAACACTTGATGTCTATTTTAGTTAACTATTTTTTGTTGGGTTACTGTCTGATTTATGTTTAATCTATGTTCTCTTTTATTGATATATAGATTTTGATTCAATAAAGTGAACTTAGATTATGTTTATCTTAAAAGATGACTCACTTTAAATTATTTTTGTAGTATTTAATTTCTGCCCCACATCGTATCCATCCTATCTTTTTGCCTTGAGCATTCTTCTCACTGTACATTAATGGTCTCATTCCATAGTTATATAAACTGTCAGGCTAAAAACAGTTAATATTATGTTAAATGTTAAAAAACTGTCTTCATATCATTCATATGTATAAACAAACATCAATGAAGCCAAAGAGGAGAGATTAAACCATTTTCCTTTTGCACACATGTATTGGAGTATGCAAGCTCTTTGCAAGTTAAAAATACCTTTAAAACAATTCCTATACTAGCAAAGGGGTGTCTGCTTGGCTGTGGGGATTTATAATAATAAGCACATCTTGTATGGTCTGATTGAAGAAGTTAAATGAAATGCATTTGTGGGAGTTTGTCAAGCTCTCTAAAAACAAGATTCCTTACAGAAGATTGCCATTCATGTTGTGCAGGATGTTAAAATACACAGTAACCTTTGGTCTAATTGAGGAGGTTTCCTCCAAGATGCATTGATGAACTAGAACTTGAAATGACTGTCAGACACAAGGGAGGTTTGGTGGGACTGAATCTGGTTCAGCCCGCCACTTTTAATGAAATGACTGTCATACACAAGGAAGGTTTGGTGGGACATAAATCTGGTTCAATCCACCGAGATCATGATTTTTTTTACAGGACTCATACCCTTAATACTTATGATTTGCCTACCAGTATTCTAATCTATTATTGGCAATTTGTACATTTTCCTTTTGATCTTACTATATTTTTCTGTATCATGGACAGGACCTGATACCCTAAATATTAGGCAATGACATCACATAACATGCAGCAACGTTACATGTACATGTCCATCCATGTCAAATCATCAATGAAATGCACGCGACTTCATTCATACAAGCGAACAACTATCACAAACATTTTGTACATGTAAAAGTAGTTTTACTAACAAATTCATTTTATTTCATATTCTAAACCAAAAAACATTTTGTTAAGACTAATTTGCCGATAAAAAGAATAACGGCATTTAATTTTTTTATACTGACTTCATCAGCTGGAATATCAGCTCGCCCTAGCGGGCTCGCTTGATATTATTGCTGATAAAGTTAGTATCAAAAACAAAAATACCATTATTCTATATATAATGGAGCAGCTAAAAAACACACAAACTCACCTTCATAAAATTGACTATAGTAAATCTATATGTTACATTAGGTCTAGTGTTTGCTACTCTAAAATAAAACCATTGTGTATTCTTTGTTGTGTATAAATCATATCTTAGCCAACATTCATAATCTGTTTCAGACCTGAAATGAAGAGATGAAATGACCCTTAAGTTCACATATGTCTAATGAAACTATTTTTGTTCACAAACTGTTCAATTACTTTTTGGGTACAATTCTTTTCAATTAAACTTTGAGCTGGATTGAGCTGTTTCATAAGGTAGGAATTTATTGCAAAAGGATATTGTAGCCTTACACCTCTGGTCAAGTGCTGACCTCAACAACCACAACTGCAGTTAACAACCACGGTTTTACAAATTCATTCTTTTTGTGCGTAATGTGGGCCATGAAGACCTCCAATTGAGAAATCAAACATAAAGTTTTTCATAATACGACATAAAATCTCACAGGAAGCATAAATTTCTTTCTGTTACTTCAGCTTATACTAGCAAACTATGTCTGTAAACTTTTACATACACTGAACACTAACATGCCCTTTTGGTCAAACAGCTATTTAAGTTTCGGTAGTTAAACATCCTTGACTTTCAATTTTTGGCTTTGAGCATTCCTGATGAAGGTAAATCCAGAAAAGACTCATATTTATAAAGTGTTATTTTCAGTCTTCCAGACATAGAAACCTTTAGTTGATTTTTATTAAATCTAAGGTAAATAATTCTTCCTTGGTCAGCTAAATTTTTTACATTATTTCTTCATTTGTTTCTTATAGCATTTTCAGATCATTTATTTGTAATTATTTATTCTTCTTACGTTTGAACTGCCCTGGCAAGATTTCCACTTTCAAATCGAGAATCAAATAGAAGTGTTTTATCCTCAGGAGATTTCAGGTTACATGTTACTTTTTCTGGTCCTGTCCGACATCCATTTACTCTTGATCTCATAAACTAAAAATCAAAATAATAAAATGCATTATTACTAATTGAATATTCTTTCAGTTGTAACTATAGAAATGGCTGATGCCTAAAAACTTTAAATTGGTACATATGTTTATTTATCAATAAATGAAGTGAAGTCTGTTCTATTAAAACATACATGGAACCCATGGATGGCATTTTTAGTATCATCAATGGAGGGAAACTTAAATATTCTTAATAAAATTGCCTGAGAAATATGATAACGGCCTATCCTTATTTTGAGACTATAAGTCAATGGTTGATTGGTCGAAGGTTCAAATGGAATTCAATGGTAAGTATTGGTAAGTAAAAGCTCCAGAAAGAAAGTATTTTGTTGTATTTAAAATGGTAAAAATATTCAGGACCATTTCTGAGGACTTTGTATAAATGTAATTTTACTGTTTATACAATACAAAATATCAAAAACAAAGTTTTTGTTTCTTTTTCTGAAAAGATATTTTTTTAGGAAAATTGTTTATATATCTGATTGCATGTTATCGTCCAGTGATTTAGCTAAAATTGTCTTATGGTTCTGGTGTCACAATAAAAGGTCATCATTTATTCCACTGTTAAAACAATAGCACAATAATGTGCAGACTTCCAAACTGATTGTCCAATTATGTCAATTCAAAAGTAAAATTTAGCTGCATCACTGTTTAGATTGTATACACAAATGTTTTTTTATCAAAAATTCCAATCCTAATCATTCATACTGAAAACCTAACCTTGGCAACATGGATAGTAAACACTTCATGGTTGGTAAAATGATATCAAGGACAATTCATATCTCATAGATATCTATAATTCATAATGCAGACTTTTAAAAACTGCCCTTAATTGTTGGATTTAATTTCATGGTTGATATTTCCAATATTTTTTGTTTCACTGTTTATTAATGACATAACTTAATCTAATTACTTACAAAACAAGCCTTTGGTTCATACATAAATACAAGTCTTCCGCCATTTTCTTCTCCTCTTACCATTGGCATTTTTTCTGCTCCAGCTGAAATGTACCATCAAAATCTATAATATGCTGGTTGAAAATAAAAAGAGATAAGCTTAATGTGATTATCATAGATACATTATAATTTATAATCAGACTGACAAATACGTCTCAATCCTCACAAACCAATATAATTGACCTAATCCTGACAACTGAAACTGAGCAATAGAGCATAAAAATGAGATCAAGGCATAACTAATTAACAACCAAAATATTGCTGACCTTTCATGTATAGTTAATGAGAAAAATACCTGATTCTGAAAACTTAACCTGACCCCTGGAGCTTGAAAAAGAGATCAAGGGGATATGACAATAGTCAGAAGACCACACCTCATAACCAACATACCAAACATCATTGTCCTATCATGTATAGTTACTGAAGAACAGACCTAAGCCTAAAAACTTAACCTGGCCACTAGGGCATGGAAATGAAGTCGAAGGCAGGTGATAATAATTGGTTCACATTGTTTTATCTTGAAAAACCTCCATACATTAATTTTGTCTGTCATATTATTTCTGTAATTGTTTTGTCGTAAAATATTCTGTTGGTTTTTTCATTTGAATTCTATGACATTTTGTCATGTTGGGACTATACAGTATGGTTTTTTCTAATTGTTAAAGTTCCCTATAGTTGCTTAAATCCAAGCCATTTGGACTCCTGGACCAGTGGATAGTTGTCTCATTGGCAGTCGTATCACATCTTCTTATTTTATATCCATACAAATATTTATTATCTTAAGTGAAACTGTTACTGTGGATAATATATAGATGCTTTCATTTTTATTTTCACATTATTAAACATAACTGACATATTGAAACTATCTCAGAAGATTTAAGCCTCAGATATAATAAGGATCAATATAATTTGAAATTTATTTATATAATATTTCATACATAAACGACAGTACATCATACGCCTCTAAAGGCTGGTTGGTGTAAATATACATGTTTATTGACTTATACATATGTTTAAAATTGTAATATATTGTGTTTCATGTACATGTACCAAGTTGTACTTTAAAATAAAAATATTTATCTATCTATAGAGGTTATTTGCAAACTGTCAACATGGCAGCTTTTTGTCATAAAGGTACCTTAGACTTATCAGGACAGATAAATACCATATAATTGACTATGTTACATAATAAAACAAAAAAAAAACACATATATAAAGAAAAATAATTCTATAAAGTGGGTCATTTCGAAATTCTGATTTATCATTTAAATTTATTTCTTATTTACAAATTGGTTATATAATGATGCTTATATAAGCAAATAATTTATGTTTTGACATTTACTACCTTTTTCTTTAAAATGTCAATAATCATTTATTACTTAACATTTCTGAAGTATGTTTTTAGAGAATTACCCAAGTATAAAAATCATATTTCATGCCAATTATGAAAAATTGGCTATAAATCAAATATTATTGGTTCAAATTGTATATTTTAGTATACTAATGCTGAAAATTGATATCCTTTTAGTTGAAAATTTAATTAAAATTATGCACCAATAAGTTCAATATTTCAATAAATAAACACAGAAAGTTATTCACCCTTTTACAAGAGCAAGTACAAAACTTCAGGACTGGTATCATGGGCCATTAAGGACTGTCAACTGTTAAGTGTAACGACTTCTAGGTTTAAATAGCTATTTACAAGTGTTTAATTAAATATTGGAATAAAATATTATATCCTTGTATACAACCAATACATATAAACAATCCAGACTCTATATATAGTATTGTAAATTCTTCAAGGGAACACAAAAGAGAACAGCTTTAGTCTAAAAACATTTAAAGAGGCTATTAAACCCCTATTGACATCACAAGTTTGAAATCATACACCACATTAAATACGTCAATAATTAAATTTTAAGTCCTTGATATACCTATTGAAGAATTATAGTTGACTTAGTTTTTTTTCCCACTTTTTCTTATGGTTTATAATTACATATATGTGAAGCAGACATGATATAAATATAAAATTTGGAGATGTGGTGTATTTGCCTATACTTGAATCATCAAAGAAAACTATGATAGATGTTTGCCAGAACAGTCAATCTACATTTTATAAAAAACATAGTCAAACCTGTAAATAAAGGTCATCATGGAGACCAGAGAAAATTGACTATAAAAGAGGTCATCCTTGGGACCAGAGAAAACTGACTGTATAAGAGAGGTGATCTTAGAATTTGGCCCGTTCAAAATGCATGGGTGTTACTACAGCTGGGAAAGAAATGGGTGACCTGACAAGACAGTTTTTTGCCTAATAGAGGTCACCTTTATAGCAGGTTTGACCGTACACCAAAGAACAATTCTCTATTTGCACATATTTAAGGGAAAATCTCTTAAGTAAACAAAGCATTTTAAGTTTCAATCAGGAGTAAGGATTTTTTACACAAAAACAATCATTTTGCTGCATATGATTTTGTTTCATGTTGCATTGAATATAAAAATAATGAAATGTGGTATGAATGCCAATGAGATAGCTATCCACCAAAGTTCAAATGAAGTGGATGTAAGCAATTATAGGCACCTGTATGGCCTTAAACAATGAGAAAGCCCCTTACTGAATGTATATTTTGTCACTGTGACAGAGATTTTTATGCATATGCTTGCCAAAGAATAACTGAAAAGCTTTAAAGACAAAACAAAAACAAAAACTGATGAAAGTGCCAAAAATTTGTTTAAAATTTTCAAGTCATTTTTCACATTGAAGGTGACATTGTTTCTAAGGGAAAACTTACATTAAGTCTATTACAAACACAGAGAACATGAGAAACGTGCAAAAATTTATCAATATCTGTATGACATTTATCTACAGGTATGACATTACAACTGTAGTACTATAATAGGACTTGTTTACTTACTTGGTTTATAGAATGGTTCAGGTTCTGGAGGGATATAATACATGTGTTTTATTTTTTCATTCAGCACTTGAATTTCTGATGGCCTGTAACAAAAGAAGAAATTAAAAATATCATTTTATTTACTTTGTAAATACAAAAAGGGAAAATATCAATATTTGTTGAAACTATATAACAATGGGGGTGTGACAAAAATTACAATTTTCAAGTATATGTTTAATCAAATATTTGTATTTGACATGTTGTATACAGTATTTAATGAATTAAGGATGGTTGTATGTGAAATTAGTTTGTAACAATAGTTCAAAGACCTTAAGTCTTGTGATTAATGTTGAATATCCTAAATACAAAATGATTTCTTTCTTTGCTTTTATTTTTGCAGAAGTCTACTGTGATTTCTATGCTATTCCTAATATCATCAAAAATATACAGATCCTATCTATGGCAATTGAATTTTCAGCATTAAAAAAGGAAACTCTAAGTATGCTTCAATGAGACAGCAACACAACTGTTTCAGTACAAAGTTAATAAAGTATACATCTATTAAGGTATACAGTCTTTGACTTTGCTAAAAGACTAGTTTCACTACCTACATTATATAGCAAACTTTAAACTGCACCAGGTCTACAACTTGTGTATGAATTCAACAAAAGACAAACAAATATGAGATGAAGATGGATTGCTGTTTGACGTCCAGTGGTAAGTTAAATGCATACTCAGGACAAGAACACGTTAATCTGATATGAAAATGAGTACTGCTTTGTACCAACATTTTACAATATTCAGATTTTTAACGTGCTAGTTAACAAGGTAACAGTCAGCAGGAAGACATGTCACTGTACCTGGACACATTATTCTTACCCACAACCACTAGCACTTTAGACAAGCATGCTACCACAAGACCACCAATGCAATTATATCAGACACAAAGTTCTTAACACACAATAATAGGAAAAGACAGATTCATTCAAAACATTTTTTCATACAAGTACATTTGCAAAAAGTAGAAACATTGTCAGCAGAGCTAAAATCATATTCATTTACTACTAATACTCATTTAACACTACACAGGAGGCAAAAAAGACAAAGTCCATTATCAGGTTCAGAAAACCTCAAACCTCATAGTGATTAAAAGTTAAAACAAATTGAGATGCATTATGTCATTAGGTACTATTTCAGTGAAATCCACTCATTGGATTTAGAAAGTGTAGATAATAATAATAATAATAATAATAAATTCTTTATTTAAAGAGGGTAAACACAGTTAGTTACAATTACTAATCTTCCCTAAGGCCCTCATATACAATACAAGTAAAAAAAAAATAATAAGACACCTAAAGTAGAAATGGAAAAGTCAATTAATTACTGTTGGAAAGGCTGCAAAATCATTTTGACATACAAAAATTCTAATATTTGATACTGAACAATCATTAGATTTGCCATCAGAAACTAAAAATGCTCTTTAAATTTACATTGATATCCAATAGCTAGTGCCAGCTCTGTGGTCTCATGGTAGCATGCTTGCCTCAAGTACTGTAGGTCATGGATTTTATCAAGTAGCAGAGTGTATAAAACAAACAGCTCAAACTATACACAGGGGAAAAGGCTATATATAATCTAACTTGAATATAGCTACTGCTGACATTTTGTTCTACTTGTAACAAAACAATAAGTATCACTATACTGTGAACCATAGTGCTTGATATAACACTATACATAATTATTACCATCTAGCTGCTTGTTGTGGACCAAGTTCTTTAGACAATGCAAACAAACTCCTGGGTTCTCTAAGTTTTGGTACCTGAATGAATAAAAAAACATTTGAAGAATTATCAGTTTACTGCACACTTTTAAAAGTACAATAATAGAAACAATGAAAAATAAAATTTTATTCAGTATTAAAAGATAAGACACTTATTTTCACTTTATAATGTTGACTATTTTCTCAGTAACTCTTAATTGAGAATTCTTCCTCTTTGGGGGCTATCAAGAAAAACATATTTTTATGTTTTTTGTTCATTATCTTAGAAAGTCGATATTCCGCTGATGCTGCCTCTCCACAAATAATTTGCTTGTTCTGTGTTTTACAAATGTTCTTCTTGTCTCAAAGTATTATCTTGAAACACATGAATAAATAAACCCATTCTTGCTCATCAAGTTTCATTGTTGTATTTCAATTTCTTCTGCACATTTTGCTACAGTAAAAAGGCATCCCCAATACTTTTTCTTGACAATGTATTTTCTTATACAAAACATAGCTAGTTTACATGAATTTCCCAAAGGATGCATGAAAAACTATGTTCCAAGTGGATTACAAATCAACACATTGAATTTTTATAGGAACTAAAATTAATATTCCAATTTGGTGCCTAGTGGTTTGTTTCTCATATGAAACTGTTGTGCTATGACAATGGAGACAAGCAACAGATAAAAAGGGATGAGAGTAACATTAGATGATACAGAATGGTTTCACATGCATATTCCCCATAGGCTCATACTTGTAACTGAAATTACTAGAATTACACAGGCAAACATTCAATAAGAAACATGGCACCAAAGATTCAATATTCAAGAAATTTGCCTCAATAAATTAGAAATAATATAAAGTTTAATTACAAGAAAGCACATACCATTCCTTTGCCATCTTGATAGCTATAAACCAGTTGTGTGGTCCGTAATAACTCTTCTTGTAACTTGTTATCTACAAGTAAAATTCAGAACATTTATTCCTGCTGTACATTATAAACACACTGACATATTACTTTGCTTTTTGGTTTTTATTCAAATAAACTGTAAAAATTATTGATTTCTTTGAAACCTATAAAAGATATGCCAATATAAAACATGTACAACAGCATTCAGCTAAGCCGAAAGCTTTTTTTTTTCTTCAGAAAATTGTTATTTAGCCTTGTCTTTTAAAAAATATAGCAAAATTTTTATCATTCAAGACTTATGAGTTTATCTAATTAGGTAGCATTTTTTCAGTTACCATTTCTAAATAATAATTCAGACAGCCTAACAAAAAAGGAATGCTGGTTTTAAATCTTTTACTTCAATACTAGTATAGTTATTATCATGCTCATTTTGTACATTTATATAGCAATACTTAACAATTTATATATCTGTATTGTATATTTTATCAAAAACACATTTAAGAATATTTAAGATTCTACTGAACAAAATAAAGTCTACACCACTTAGCCCACTAAAATAATATATAGCTAATAAAAAATTATTTTGATTATCAAATTCCAATCTCTAGCCTCAACCATTGTTATACCTCTAAACAGTCGAGCACTGTGGGAATAATTTTCTTCTGGAGTTGTCTCTGTATAAATAATCTCATTGGTTACAGCATTTTTGTAAATAGAATATACTTCATTTATCATATTATCAATGATTTTTCTTGCTTCAATTCAGAGTTCTAGAAAAGTGGTGGTACGAAGTTCATAACCGATACAATTTTGGTATTTTGCAATAGAAATAATAGTAACGATCGGGAGATTTTCTTCAAGGACCACCGGAGAAAAAAAGATTTTTCAAGAACTCTGCTAGTTCAATACACCTCCCCCTCGCGAATATTTTCAAAACTATTTTATTGCCAAGTTGCTAGTAATGACAGATTTTAGGCTATATATTTTTAAATAGCTAATTATGGTATGATAATTTGCATGAATTCATCAGTACCATTTACTGTTTATCCTCCTATAAGTTACTTCAATATTGTTAGCTTGATTTATAATGCAAAATAAACATGTATCAAATACATCCAGTAGGGCATTAGCTCAATCGGGTGTATCAAATACATCCAGTAGGGCATTAGCTCGATCGGGTGTATCAAATACATCCAGTAGGGCATTAGCTCGATTGGGTGTATCAAATACATCAAATAGGGCATTAGCTCGATCGGGTGTATCAAATACATCAAATAGGGCATTAGCTCGATCGGGTGTATCAAATACATCCAGTAGGGCATTAGCTCGATTGGGTGTATCAAATACATCCAGTAGGGCATTAGCTCGATTGGCTGTATCAAATACATCCAGTAGGGCATTAGCTCGATTGGCTGTATCAAATACATCCAGTAGGGCATTAGCTCGATTGGCTGTATCAAATACATCCAGTAGGGCATTAGCTCGATTGGCTGTATCAAATACATCCAGTAGGGCATTAGCTCGATCGGGTGTATCAAATACATCCAGTAGGGCATTAGCTCGATCGTTTGTATCAAATACATCCAGTTGGGCATTAGCTCCATCGTGTGTATCAAATACATCCAGTAGGGCATAAGCTCCATCGGGTGTATCAAATACATCCAGTAGGGCATTAGCTCGATCGGGTGTATCAAATACATCCAGTAGGGCATTATAGCTCGATCGGATACATCCAGTAGGGCATTAGCTCGATCGGGTGTATCAAATCTATCCAGTAGGGCATTAGCTCGATTGGGTGTATCAAATACATCCAGTAGGGCATTAGCTCGATCGGGTGTATCAAATACATCCAGTAGGGCATTAGCTCGATCGGGTGTATCAAATACATCCAGTAGGGCATTAGCTCGATCGGGTGCATCAAATACATCCAGTAGGGCATTAGCTCGATCGGGTGTATCAAATCTATCCAGTAGGGCATTAGCTCGATTGGGTGTATCAAATACATCCAGTAGGGCATTAGCTCGATCGGGTGTATCAAATACATCCAGTAGGGCATTAGCTCGATCGGGTGTATCAAATACATCCAGTAGGGCATTAGCTCGATCGGGTGCATCAAATACATCCAGTAGGGCATTAGCTCGATCGGGTGTATCAAATACATCCAGTAGGGCATTAGCTCGATCGGGTGTATCAAATACATCCAGTAGGGCATTAGCTCAAAAGGGTGTATCAAATATATCCAGTAGGGCATAAGCTCGATTGGGTGTATCAAATTTACACCAAGTTTTTATGGTTATTACAAAATGATAGCGATTTCAATAATGTAGGATTTGAGTCTTAATTCAGCAATTTAACCTAATATTATGGTAAGGCATGATAAATGGATATCCAATTACATTTAATGACATCTTGGTGTAAATAATAAAATGATATCTTACGATTCAGTATATTTTGGCCACTAGTTTATAAATGAGGGAAGAATAATGGCTAAAGTAAGAAACCAAAAGATCATAAGAAGTTACAATCATATTTGAGAATTATAATGAAAGAAGTTAAAGCACCACTTTCGTCCATGAACCATAATAAGACAATTTGTCATCCAAACAATAACCCTCTCGGCTCAATATGGTGTGTTTGAAAACAAATAAGGAATGGGCTAAAAATTGAAATAGTTAACTTTAAAGACAAAATTAAACAAACAATTTGACACTTTCTCTGAACAAAACATTGACGGATCTTAATATTAAATACTATTTAATGTATAGATACAACAATCTGTCATGACCTTAAAAACCAATAAAGCCTATTAAACAAAGAACAATGAAACACAATGTCTGACCTGTTAATTCCTACTTAAGAATAAATATCTTAATAAGCTGTGGTCATTATATAACCCACTCAAATATTCTTTGATCTAAACAGGTGAAAATCTTATTAGAATATAACAGGTGCTTTCTGATTTCATGCAAATAAGCTGTTTAACCAAGTTTTTTTTTTGTAGAGCAATATCTTACTGATATAGTGTCCATCATGGAATTTTAGTCTTTACATCAAATCTACCTTCATCAAATGAAACAGCTATCAAATCACCCATGGTTATTGAAATGCCTCACTGACTTCCAAATCAATGGATAAAACATTAACAATTGAAAAAGGCAAATCTAGACAGTTTTACAGACAGTATTTACTTATACAAGTATATCATGTATATATATATACAGAGTTTATTTAGGGACATGCACCCATGCAGACACATTTCTTACAAATATCAGGCATTTTACTGTAAAGGAAGTCAACTTTCTAAAGAAACACTCTAACAAATTGCTTAGTTTCTGTACAAGGTATTGGGTTATCTTTGACATAGGGTAAATATATTATCTTATGCACAAATTTCATATTAACATTCGACAACAAAAAGTTATTTGTCAAATAACCAGAAGCAGATTTAGAATGGGGTCCTCTCTCTAATTTAAGCTCATCAGGGGGTCCTCTCTCTAATTTAGGCTCGTCAGGGGCCCTTCTTTTCCAAAACCCTAGATCTGCACCTGATAACCTCTACACATTATTGTCATATCAAGTTTTAAGCACTATAACAATGTCCAGCTAGGTATAATGTGCATTTAAATAGCAAATGGACCACATGACCAGACAACAACACCATGTCTTCTATCAAATCCTGCATCTCCATAAATACTAATCCGAAAACAACTACCCTGGATTAAAATGAGATTTATCACATAGAATTCAGTAAACTGATATATGTATTTATCATATTTACATTTGTACAATAACTGTCTTATATTAAGCAATCTGATCGGTATCTTGGTGACTGAGTCTCCTTTTCAAATGCATTGAATTTAAATTTAGAAACCCGAATATATAATACATGATACACGTTTGTATACTATAAAACGTAGAGAAACTTTTTTATAGTCAATAACTATCTTTTCAGATCATCTTATATTTCAGTTTACACAAGTAATTGCATTAGAATGGTGTAAATGTAGATTTTCTTATACTAAACATGTCCAAAATTTTAAGTTCTATAAATTTGCAAAATTTAGGGCTTAAAGCTTGTAGCTTAATTTTTATAGCAAGAAATTAGAACAGCAGGCTTAAGAATTTTGTATAAAACATGTTTGAAGTGTTGCTATGGGAATAAGTTCCTCACGTACCAACCTCAATTTATTTTAGTCGGCGGGCCCTTATAAATTGATTGAAATGGATATGGACTAGGTACTAAAGAAAGTATATCCCACTGCACTATGCTGTTGGTGCTCCCAAAGAAAGAGATGAGGCATGGAAGATATAGCTTTCAAGCAGGTGACATAAGGGTTTTAATTGCATTTCATGGAATATTTACCTCCAAAATAAACAAATAAGCTTATCAATCATGAGATGCACGTCTAATGGAATTGATGCCAAAAATTAACCAGTCTGACATTCACATGTAAAATATATGTTAAAGAAACCAAATTGTTACAGAAATATCTGACACTGAATAAGTGAAATGAAACATAAATTATAGATACATGCACTCTCTAAAAATATATAAAAAGATCACAGGAATCACAAAAAAATACTGGACAGAACAACATACCATAAAACCAAGTCAGTCAATAATCATGCAACCACAGTGTAACACCTCTCAAAGTACTGCCTTCAACACGGAGCAACCACATTTTAACTTGTACATAGATTTTTTCAATTTCCTGTTTTTTTTTCTTCATCATACTTTGTTACTGTACATCAGCTGCACTTGATGACACAGCATCAGCGTGATAGAATTTTCCTTTGCTGATTAACGAAAGAAGCAGAACCACCAACACCGGACTGTTCCAACTCTTGGTCTAGATAATTTGAGTTAAGACTAAGTAATAAGATTACTAGACATGCACTCTGAATTTCAAATATAATTGACAAATATCATGAGATCCTGGGATATCAACCTATATATGAAAATTCATCATAGTCACTGTATCATGAAATGTAGGTCAAGTTGATGCAAGTGCTTTGATCAATGTTGTGTTATATAAGAGGAATGCAG